CACTTTTGCCATTCACCAACCAAATGGGGCATATGTGCAGGCTCTCCTTAACATCCCGCTAACAGCTGATGAAAAGCAGCTAGTTATAAAAAAGACTAATGAAGAGGCTCATCGCCTCCATCAAGAGAATCCCAACCCAGCCAGGGCAATTCCCTTGACAGAGCCCAATTGGGACCCAAGTAGCAGGGACCTAGAACATTACAAAGGGGGCATATTAAAAGGGCTTAAGAAAGGAGTGCCTGAACACAAGAGCCTGAATATGATATGCACCACACAACAGAAACCAAAAGAAGATACTTCTGAATTTCTAGAACTGATCTATCAGGCTTGTCAAAAGCACACTGATGCTGACCCACAGGCACCAGAAAATGCCCAGATGACAAACATGATTTTTATTGGGCAAAGTATCCCAGATACCAGAAGGAAGCACCAACATTCAGACAGGTGTTGGGAATGAATCTCTCCCAGCTGGTGGCCTTTAAAGTTTACCATGCCCGGGAAACAAAGAAATTAAAGCAGGCCTCTGCTTTCTTAGAAACAGTGGAGGGAAACTAGAAGGAGAGGTGAGACCCGAAAGGAAAGAGGGAAGACCCCTGAGGTGCCAATCAATGCATCTATTGCAAGGAGAAGGGCCACTGGAGAAAGGACTGCCAGAAACGTAACAGGAGAAATACAAAGGGTAGAAAACTTTGCTGAGAAATGTTAGAAGAGAGGGTATTGGCTGATGGCAGGGTACATAGGAAAATGTCAGGCCATTTTATTGGACAGTCCAGGTGTTACCTTACAAACCACAACTACGTTAAACCTAGTTATACTTCTCCTGGACTTGGAGGGAGGCTTAGACCTTCAGTGTGATTGTTCAAAAATCATTGACCAAGTTTATTCCAGAAAATTGTATCTACTGGACCAGCCACTGACAGAATCTGACTGGGAATTATATACAGATGGGAGCAGCTTCATGGAGAAAGGACAGTGACAAGCCAAGTACAGGGTAGTAGTCACCACAGACAAGAAAATAGAAGCCCAAGTCCTTGCCATAGGAACCTCGGCACAAAAGGCTGAACTGATAGCCCTCACCAGAGCCTTAGAATTATCCCAAGGAAGGAATCTTAACATCTACACTGATGCTAAGTAGGCCTTCATGGTAGCCCATGCCCATGGGACAATATGGAAAAAAAGAGGGCTCTTAACCTTAGGGAATAAGGACATCAGATACGCAAAACTGCTAGAGGCAGTGAGTCTACTGAACCATATTGGCATAATGCACTTTCCAGGACACCAGAAGAACAATTCCCAAACAAGCCAGGAAACCAAACTGTCAATAAAGCAGCAAGACCAGCCACCCAAGGGCCACCACTTCTCGGGGCTCTAATTCTGCACCTGGACTTGTCAGAATTTAAATTTCATTACACAGAATGAGATGAGGAGTGGACCTGTGAATGGGGATTTTCTAATACTGACCCTAATTCTATATGGAAGATCAACACTCATGGTACGATCTTGTTCCCTAAAGTTCTGGTATATCCCATCCTCAAACACCTATATGAAGGGGCTCATAAAGGAAGGGATGTTTTGATGGACCTCATTAGACCAAGTGAAGGGCCCTCATTTACAAAGGACCATTCAGAAGATTATCCAAGCCTGTCAGATATGCACCAAAAACAAACCTAAGACAGAACGTGCCACAACAGGAAAGGGAGTACAATGTAAAGGGACATCCCCATTTGAGGGCTGGCAAGTTGACTTTACACAGATGCCTAAAACCATAAGAAACTTTACATTTTTATTTCTTGTGGATACTTTTTCTGGGTGGGTAGAGACATATCCACTAGAACTGCGAAGACAACCAAGGTAGCAAAATTTCTACGCAAAGAAATAATCCCTAAGTTTGGACTTCCTAACATCATTCAAAGTGGACCATAATTCACTTCAGAAATCTCCCAGAAGACAGGACAGGCACTACAGATTCCATGGAAAGTACGTGCATCTTGGAGACCTCACTCTTTGGGGAAAACAGAAAATGAACCAAATAATAAAGAAGACCTGGTGAAAATATGCCAGGAAACATTTGAAATGGGACCAGGCTCTCCTTATTGCCTTGCTCCGAATTAGGGTAGTGCCTCAAAGTGGGTTTAAAGTAAGCCCTTTTGAAATATTTAGTTTATGGTAGACCCTTCCAAGTTTGTTTTAGGAACACCCACTTTATATGTAGAACATGAATCAAAAATCAAACAATATGTACAATATCTAGGGCAAACATTAATTTGCACAAGCTTGCTCATTGCAGGTCCATCTACCTGTCTGATGAGCCCTTACACTTGTTCCAGCTGGGAGACCAAGTCTTACTAAAGGCCTGGAAGTCTCAAGGTCCTGAACAGCAGTTAGCCAAGCAATAGACCAGATCCTATGACTCCCTGCTAACAACACTCTTCCCTAAAGCTGATGGAATCCAGCCTTGGATCCACCACACATGGATAAAGCGGGCCTCACTTGAGGACTCAGATCTTGCTGCTGCTGTCAACACTGCAAAGGAGAGCTGGACCTGCTCTCCTGAAGGAGATTTAAAATTCTTCTTTCGGAAGGGGACAGCACCTCCCAAAGGTCTCACTTTGGAAGCCCATCTGCAACACCGCCTCCTGAAGAATACGAAGCAGTCTACCAGCTTTGCTTGTTCAGCAGTGCCATCCTCTAGACACTGTGTATACTGCCCTCCGAAGACCACAATACTGCTCCCTCATGTAAAGGTTTCCCTCCATTCCTGATCCCCCTCTTCTTTTAGTAGACTGTAAGAGTCTCTGGACCCAGGAATTGGTAAGACTATATCCTTTGACAGCAAGAAGAAACTACATAAGATTAGACATTCATCCATTTACCCTTGTAAGATTACAAGGGTCCAGAGTTTTGAAGAGGGGTGTTGTTACCTTAGAGAGTCAGTCAAAGCCTGGGGGAGTCTCCCCCATTGGCCAAGATGGAGGCAGAGGGAGGTTTTTACACTGAGTGTGCCAAAAGCGGGAGAGATGAATGAATAGGGCCTGAGCATGCCACAAGCTAGAAAGAAGAATGGATAGGGCCCCAAGCCCACCAAAAGCTAACGAGATAATTGGAGAGAAAAATAAAGTCTTCCCTATCCCTATAAGAATAGCAGGCTTGAGCAGGAAGGGGAAATGGTCTCTGAGACCTGAGCCCACCATTCTCCAGGTTCTGTGGTACTTGAATAAAACCCCTTTCCTTTTGCACCAGCATATGGCTTGGGAGTTGGGCTTTCATAGCAACAGGAAGTCAAACCTCCATTTGTTCAGTTACACTAAATAGAGGTGGTGGTTGCACAATGTGAAAGTACTATATGGCACAATATTGTTCACTTTGAAGTGGTTAATCTTATGAATTTTATGATTTTCATTATGATAAATTTAAATAAAACCAAGAATAAGGATGCCTGAAGTTAGAGTTGAAGTCTTCATTCCTGTGACATAAACCTTCTCTACACTCCAAATCTCTTCAGCAGAATCCATAACAATTATATGCCTCCTGTGGGCATCTTTGGGTCAGAAGGAAGGAAACAGCAAGGTCTGGAAAGACCTGGCCCAGACAGAGAAATCTGACACAGGACAGGGAGATGGTCTATAAACTGAACAAGTTCTGTAAAGCAGGAATTCAGAGCCAGAGGGAACCAGAACATTAATCTACTTGGCCTTCTCAGAAATCATGGACGGGGCTTTCAACCTTGAAGGAAAGAGGTTGAGGCAAACTTTTGGGGTTGCTGTGGAGCGCAATTGTTATCTTGGACACCATTAACAACCAGTACCTTCTCCCCTCAACTTGTGGCAAAGCTACCCGGATTTCACCCTGCGGGACCATCCTTTCTTTGCCACCTGTCTCAGCTGCTCTCCCCACAAGGATGGAGAGTGTGACCTGTGCTAAGCCAGCTGGCATATTCCATCATTTTGGGACACATGACCAAAACTGGGCCAATCAGGGCCAAGGAAATAAATTTCAGGGGTTTTTTTCCTAACACTATCTGGGAAAGAGATGCTCCCATTCTCCTGCCTAGGAGTTGGGATGATGTGAGCCACTTGGAGGACAGGACTAATCTGGAAGAAATGTGACAGAAAGCTGGAGTCCTCATATGAGGCCCTGTGTCAGACCTGAAGCCTGCTCTGTGTATAAGCTGTGCAGAGTTAGAGCACCTACTAAATCCATTCCTCTGCTTATACTGGGTTGGAGCTCTGCCTACAGCTGCACCAATTCAAACACGTTCCTGTCATTCACACACACCCAAAATAAGTTGCTTCAGACACTCTTTCCCCATTCTGGGAATACTACAGGCTCACAATGTCAAATTAAAAAACGCTTGGGGCCAGACGTGTATCAGAGATCGGAGTTTTCCAGCAGTTAGAAGGTAGTATGGCACATACATTGCATTCATAGGTAAACAAGTGGAGTCCAGGGCAGCACCCTGTAATCAAACACCTTAGGATTTTTGCAAGGCAGAATCTGAATATTAACACTAAATGAGATGCAGAGACTAAGTAGCCTTTGTTAGCTCAAGTCAGAGTTTCTCGACAAGTGAATCTGAGTCCTAAATTTTTGAAAATGCCATTTTCAGTGTTTTGAGTTTCAGAATGGTAGACCTATAAATAATAATAGCTTTCACTCACATACTGCTCATTCTATGTCTAGCTGATATTAACTTCTGTCATCCTCCCACTGATTCTATGGGGTAAATATAAATATTATTGCCATTTTACAGAGTGGGAATCTGAGGCCCAGGTGGGTGAAGTGACTTGCCCAAGGCCACACAGGCAGGAGGAGGCAGAACAGGATCTGAACCCAGGTTGTCTGGCTGCAGTCTTATGTCCTCCCCTCATGCCATCTGCCCCTTGTGGGGATGGGTATATCTTTGGAGACCCCTTCCATTTATCCAGGTGAACCCATTTTAGGGGCTGAGGCCCGGCATCCTTCAAGAGGCCTCAGCCCACCACCTGCCCTGTGTTCCTCACCTCCACAAGAAAAAAGTCCTTGAAGCTGGTGTCAGTCAGCAGGATGGACTTCTCCTCAGGAATTCCACCCAGGATGAGCACAGGTGCCTGGTCCACAGTGTACCACAAGGGTCTCGATGAGACGTTCACAAAGTACCGGGGTATCAGATTGAAGAGCTGCCAGGGGAGGGGCAGGAGGGCTACTTAACATTCCTCAACCCTCCACTGGCTTCATATCATTTAGGGTAAAAGCCAAAGTCCTCTCCCTGACTCAAGAGGCCCCACAGAGTTTGTCCCCCCACACCTCTTTGACTTCAATCCCCTGTACTCTCCTGCTTGTTCGCCCTTTCCCCACAACATTGCCTCCTCACTGCTTCTCAGACTGACCAGGCACATTTCCGCCTCGGAGCATTTGTACTGGCTGTTCCCTCTGTATACAATGTTCTTCCCCTAGGATCTACGTGATTCCCTCCTCTCCTCCTTCAAGGCTTTACCCAGATGTCAACCTTCTCAATTCTTCTTTTCTTGACCATTCCATCAAACACTGCAGACCCTTCCTGCACAGACCCAATTCCCCTAACTCTAAATTCTCTCCAGAGCACTTTCTACCTTTTAACCTACTATGGAATTTACTTGGTTTCACGTTTACTATGGGTTTGCTCTCTGTCTCTCCCACTAGACTGTCAGTTCTAAGAGGTCAGGGACTTGGGTCTGTGTGTTCACTGTTTTGTTCCCATGGGGCCACCCTGCATGCTCAGTAAATGCCTGTAAAGACATAACGTGATTGTGCATTTAGTAGAACACTTCACCCAGCTCCTGGCACAAATTAAGTGATCTCTAAGTGGAGCCTATCACTTGTGTAAGAAATAATCAGAGTACCATCCCACTGTCTTTAACCCACATGTTTTACCATTCCCACTGTCCGGACCCCTTACCTCATTTCCCACAGTGAACCGGAGTTTGTTGTGTTGCTCTCTCTTCAGGAAGCCATTGATGTTCACCTGAAACCTGGCAGCAGGTGTGAGGTAGGCACAGGTGAGGGTTCCAGTTTCAGGGGCTCCTGCACCTCCCCACTCTGTTCCTTCCCATTGGCTTCCTCCTGGCTTCTTGGGGGATCTGGAGATAAGGAAGTCCCTCCAAGAGTCTACCCCTGCCCCCGGTGTGGGGAATGGTACCTTTTGTTGGGGATGAAGGGCCCTAGGCCATTACTGCTGACATCCACATACATGACCACACTGCCATTCTTGAGAGGCATGGGCGTGTACCAGCTCATGACACACACCTCCTCTGCGCTGCACTGTTCTGCTGGTAAGCAGGAGGCACTGAGGCTGCGGGGGTGCTCCCAGCAGTCCCCATTAGGCCATAGATCACTGAGGTCTCCCTGCAACCCTCCGTGTCCTCCTCTAGGCGTGGACCCCACTTAGGCCTTTGTGTAGCCACCATGAAACCCACTGAGGCCTCTTCCCCATGCCCTCCTCCAGGTCACAGACCTCACTGAGGGCCTCCAACAAGCCCCACAATCCCAACAGGTTATGGACCACTATGATGACCCCAGCCTCCCCTCCAAGTCATTCCCCCAGCAATCCCCCCACACTCCTGCCAGGCTTCTGACCCCCCCGCAGGCACCCCTCAGGCCCACCTTTGCTGCGGAAGGGAGCTGCCTCCATCTGGATCTGTAGCTGCTCTAACTTCCAACGATTGAAGTTAACTGGGGACTGGAAGGTGACTAGCACCACAGGCTTCAGCCCTGTCAGGTGGCCCTTGCGGACGAGAGCCTCGGAGGACTAAGGGCGAGATGGCCCCCCAGGTATGTCTTTAAGATAACCTCTGCCCCCTGCCCGCACCTTGACTCCACCTTTAGTAGATTGTCTTCCTGGGCTAGGTAGGAAGAACAAATTCTCCACCATGGAAAGGTTAGAGAACATGGTCTAGGTCTGGAGCTGGGGTGGAGAGAACAGGCTAAGAGAAGGGCAGAGGGGCTAGGGGCTGTGGAGAGAGTCAGGATGTCTTCCTGGAGGAGGGAGTCCAGGGCCAAGGTCTTCAGATAGAATTTGAATGTAGGGAATATATAGAGACAGGCAGCATCAGATAAGCAAAATCATGATGATGGGACTGAACCTGGCACCCAGAACTACTTGTGGCCATCTCCCTCACTGTAGGGACTCCCAGGCCCGCTCGTGATGTTTCCACCTTCCCTGCAGAAATGAGACTGTGCCACCCCCAACAGTCAGAGGATAGCCAGGTTTGAGGGCTGGGGGCTGGGGCCTAGGGTAAAGGTGGGATGGGACAGTGGACTGAGAACTGGGGAAGAAGGTGAGGGGAGAGGCAGGAACAACCTCCCAGAGGTGCCAGAATCCTGGCTGGGCTGACGAGGGCAGGCAGAGCTTCAAGTGGAGATGGAAGGAGGGAAGAAGGGTGTTCCGGCTGCAGGGAGCAAGCATATGCAAAGGGCTGAACAGATTTCCAAGAGAAGGCTGCACTCAGACCACTACAGGTGGGGGGTGAAGGTGGGCTTTGAGACCAGGGTGAGACACTTAGTGGGTCTGACCACCTTTGCACAGGATTTCATCCTGAGGAATGCCTCAGCCAGACCCTTTTGATCCTGCCGAATGTACTTGTTGCAGCCCTGCTTCTGGGTTTCCAAATACAGGACATTAGGTGCTTGTGGAGCAGAGCCCTCCACTCTGTCAGGGCAACAGTGACCATAACCACGCTGGTCCTGTCAATCCTCAAGTCCTGCCTAAGACCAGGCATCAGTGGCCTCCCTGGTCTCCCTGCTCCCATCCCCGCCCCCTACAGTCTGCTTCCCCCACACAGCAGGAGGGGCTCGTGAACATCTGAGGCAGATCATATCCCTTCTCTGCTCAGAACCTTCTTAGGGTCCTATCTCACTCGGAGTGAAAGCCAAGTCCTCACTAGGGTTCATGAGGCCTTAAAGCACCTCCCTGACCTATCCCCTCCCTCACTCACTCTGCTCCCAGCCACACAGGCCTCTTTGAGGTCCTCACTCACACTGTCCTCTTTCCTGCTTCAGAGCCTTTGCACTGGCTGTTCCCTCGGCCTGGAAAGCATTCCCCAGTTCTCCCAGTCATCCTTTTTCATCAGTTCAAGTCTGTTCAAGCCTCTTCAGAGAGACCTTTCCCAACTACCCCAGCTAACACCCTCCTTTCTAACACATCACCTCATTTCATTTTCTTCTTTCACTGGTTACCCTTCATAAATTATTTTATGTATTTACTTGCTGATTGTCTGCTTCCCTGGTGGGCTGAATCCCTAAGAAAAACCTGCCTGTGTTGTTTACCATTGTACCCCCCACCCCACTGTAAAAGAAAGAGAATCTGACTCATGGTAGGTGTTACATGAACAAATAAAGGTATTAATACCACATTTTTACAGATAAGGAGAGAAGGTTCATGGAGTAAAACTCTATGCTCAGGGTCACACTCTAGAAATTTGTTTCTAGCATTCACTGAGCCCTTTGTGTGAACCAGGCAATAAATAAGTGTTTCACATGTATTTAATCATTTTATGAAGTGGGCATGATCGTTACCTTACTCTTGTTAAGGATGAGGATAGCATAATCAATAAAATATAATTTAAAATATAAAATTTTAAAAGGGATGAGGAAACTTTGGTATAGAAGTTAAGTAACTTGCCTGAGATCACAGCTATTATGATATGGAACCTGAACCCTGGCAGCCTGGGTCAAGGTGTTAATTGTTATTCTATACTTCCTCCAAGGAAACACTAATCAGTGATAGATTCCAACCCAGGTCTGCAGGCCCCAGAACTTCACTTGTCGACTACAACATTCCACTATTTTCAAAAAGCATACATAAGCCAAACCATCCTTGAAAAAGAACAAAGTTTGAGAACTTTTTGATTTGAAAACTTACCACATAGCTACAGTAATCAAGACTCTTTGCTACTGGCATATAGATAGACAATATAGAGCAATGGAATAGAATTATATGCAGAAATAAACCCTTGCATTTATGGTCAATTGATTTCGGACAAGGGTGCCAAGACATTTCAATGGGGGTAAAGAATAATGTTTTCAACGAGTGGTACTGGGATAACTGGGTATTCACATGTCAAAGTTGGACCCCTTCCTCACACCATATGCAAAATTAATTCAAAATGTTTTGAAGACCTAAATATAAGAGCTAAACTACGTAAAAAACTCTTAGAAAAGAACACAGGAGTAAATCTTCATGATCTCTGGTTAGGCAAAGACTTTTTAGACAACATCAAAAGCACAGGTATCAAAAACAAAAAATTGGTAAGTTGGACTTTTCACTGAAATTTAAAATTCTGGTACTTTTATGGTATGTGAATTATATCATAAATATAAAACTTTTGTGCTTCAAAGGGCACCATCAAGAAAGTGAAAAAACAACCAATGGAATGTGACAAAATATTTACAAATCTTATATCTGATAAGAAACTAGTATCAGAATATATTAAGAAATTTTGCAACACAACAATAAAAAGACAACTCAATTTTTAAATGGGCAAAAGATCTGAATGAACATTTCTCCAAAGATAGATAGATAATGGCCAATGAGCACATGAAAAGATGCTCAATATCATTAGTTTTGAGGGAAATACAAATCACAACCACAATGAAATACCGTTTGACACACATTAGGATAGCTATAATAAAAAAGATGGACAATGACAAGTGTTGGTGGGGATGAAGAAAAACAGGAACCCTCATAGATTGTTGACTGGAATGTAAAATAGTACAGCTGCTTTGGAAAACAGTCTGGCAGTTCCTCAAAAGTGAAACAGTTAACATATAACCAAGCAATTCCATTCCTAGGTGTATACTGAAGAACTGAAAACATACGTTTATGCAAAAACCTGTACACAAATGTTCATAGCAGCATTATTCATAGTAGCCAAAAAGTGGAAATAACCCAAATGTTCATAAATTATTGAATGAACAAAATGTAACACATCCATACAGTTGAATATTATTCAGCCATAAAAAGGAAATACTGATAGGTGCTAAAACATGGATGAGCCTTGAAAACATGCTATGTGAAAGAAGCCAGAAACAAAAGCTACATATTGTATGATTCCATGTATATGAAATGTCCAGAGAAAACAAACTTATAGGAACAGAAAGTAGATTAGTGGTCTCCAGGGTCTGGAAGGGTAGGGGTACAGGGATTCTTTTAGAGGTGATGAAAATAAAAATGCCCCAGATTAGATAGTGGTGAATGGCTGAGCAATTTTGTAAATAAACTAAAACTACTGAATTGTACACTTCAAGTGATGAAATGCATGGTATGTTGAATTATATCTCAATTTTTTCAATGGCAATAAATAAATAAATGCTTACTTGAGCACCTACTATGTGCCTGGTGGGGCACTAACAATCTTTGTGAATCCTTACGGGCCCCCAGGGTCTAGTGGTGCCACCACCATTAAAATGTTAGAGATGGGGAATCTGAGATTCACACAGAATGAGCCCCTCCTGGCTGCACGCACTCACCTCTCCCTTGCAGGAGTAATTGATCTTCAGGTAGTAAGGGAAGCCCAGGTATTTCTGCAAGGAGAGGTTGAGGCAAATGTACAGAGCCCAGTCGGGTGTAGGTCCAGGACCTCTCTCATTCTCCTGGCCCCAGTCCCCTCACCTCGTCCGGGTCTATGGGTGCGTCTACCAGAAGGCCAAACAAGCTGTCCACTGTGTCCAGAGGCTCTTGATCAAAGAAGTGGTCACTCACGCTGTTCGTGCCTACCATCTCGAACTTGTTCAGGACAACCTGCCAGGTGCACTCCTCAACAGCCCACAGACTCCACGGTGATAATAGCACCGCCAACAGTAACCACAGCATCCAGAGGACTTGTAGTCTCGGCCGCGCAGGGCCAGCAGGGTTTATCGTGGGACAGAACACAGCGTGGCTTGAACCTAGGAAATGCGGAGGTCAACTCCCGCTGGCAAGACTGCGCTCCCGGCCGCCTTCTGAGATCCCGCCTCAGTACTGCGCCTCAATCCGTTCCTGCGCTTGGCCCCGCTCCTCCTGGCCTTGCCTCTGTTAAGCCTTCCAGCCCCAACCCAGCTCTGGTTCCAGGCCCCCTTCTTACTCCTGGCCCCACCCCTGCTGTTGCTGTAGTCTCCGCTTCGGCTCCAGACCTCGCTCCTGCCCCAGGCCCTGCATCTTCTCCTAGGGAGGATCCCCCCTCGGCTCTATCTCCAGGTCCCGCCCCTACTTTTGCTCCTGGCCACGCCCCTGCTCCTGGTCTGGTTCCGCCTTCTCGTCTCCTCTAACCTTGCCACACACTTCTTTTTTTGCTCCTTGCTTGCTCTGCACCCCTCTCCTACTCTTCACCCAGTCCTGGTTTCTGTTTCTGGCTTGGGCTGCGTCCCATGTATTTTCCCCAGTCCTGCTACTCCCCCTGATCTCGTACCTGCACCTGCTGTTGTAGCTGAACCTCGCCCTGCCCCACTTTTTGCCCGGCCTGCCCACTTCTCTTCGCACCGTCCCTTTCTCTTCGCTCGGGTCCTGCCGGCTAATCGGATCCTATACCTAGCCCCGCCCCTCTCCCGGTCTTGGACCTTCTCCACGCCCCTCCTCTTCCCCTGGCCTTGCCGCTGTTTCTCGCTTAGAGCGCTTAGAGCTTGCTCCCGGATCTGCTCGTGCTCCTTGTACCGTCCTTGTTCTTGACAAACCTTTAGTTCCCGAGCCGGTTCCAAGCCCCGCCCCTCGTGCGGCCCCGCCCCTCCTCCTTAGAGACCCTGTCTTTGCCTTTCGTTCTCTCCTGTATCCCCTGCACCTTCTCCTTGTTCCACGCCGGGGCTACCTTGTAGGTCAGCACCTCCTCGATCTTCACCTCTCCGAACCGCGACATCTTTTCGTCCCACCCGCTCTCCTCACCATCCCTATCCATGCCTTGGCCAACAACGGGCTCCAGGCCCTGCATCTCCTAGCCCCACCTCTACTCTTCGCATCTTTTAGTCTTTCCTCGTTTCCCGCCCCGCCTTTCGCCAGTCCCCTCCTCCGCCGGTTCCCTCCACTCTCTTCCCTTTCCCTTCCTCTCCCTCTCTCCTCCCTTCCACCCCCTCCCCCCGCATCCCTCCCTGGGATGGCACCAAGCACCTCCCTCTTCTCCCCACTTCGCCATACCAGTCGCTTAGGTAAAACCGGCCAACCGTCGCTTACCCGCTCCCGTCCCGCCCCACTTACCCGGCCTCAAAATGGCCGCCCGCACTTCCACAACCGTCTTCCGCCTCCCCCGAGGTACGCTCGCCTCGCACGCCTGTCTCCACGGTAACGAGCATCCTAACCCGCTCCTAGGGCTTACCGCAGAAGGGAGGGTGATGCTCAACACCCAGGCACGCGGGGCCTGTCCAGCTTAGGATGCCGGAGACGAAGTTTGTGATACCTAAGCGTCCTTCTATCCAATCAGGCTTCTATATGAAAAATTCTACACCTAAAAAAAGAAAAAGTTTGGTCTTCTTGTGGGAGTAATCTCACTGCAGGTTTAACACCCTCCTCTACAAAACAAGGACAAAGCAACCGTCGTGTAGGGTGATTGTCGGAAGTCAGTAAGGTAACACGTGAAGAGTGCCTGGCACAAATAAATATTCAGTAAGTTAATTCATTTATATTCTTACATTAAGGACTCAGACCATGACTTTTTGATGAACTGCAATGATGACTTTCCACTGAACTTGTAGTTTTCCAACTTCAGCATGTGTTAGACTCGCCAGAAAGCCTTGTTAAAGCAGGTTGTTGGGATCCACTCCCAGAGTTTTTGATTCAGCAGGTCTGAGATGGGGCTCGAACATTTGTACTTCCAGCAAGTTTCCAGGTGTGAGGGTAGACAAATAGAACTTCCTCCCACCTTTCTAAGTTCTTCTGTCTGGGCTAATGATCAAATTAATATAAGACAGATTCACAGGAAGAAATGTCACAGGTTTATTACAGATGTACATGTGGGGGTGCCTTAAGACAGGGGACCCAAAGAGGCTTTGGGCAGTTGAGGTTCCTGGCATTAACACACATAAAGGGAAGCCCGTTTCCCAAGTGATCTATGAATTACACTGGGTTCTGAAAAACCCAAGATGGAGAAATGAGAATAGTATTAGAAAAAAGTATGTAAAATTATATATACATATGTATAATATATGATAAAAAGCAAAGTGCAGAAATGATGATAATGATTAGCCAACATTTTATTGAGAAGGGGGGGGCAGGGTTGTGGTTTCGGATTTGAACAGATAGACAATTCACATGGAGATGGAAAAGCAAATGTTTGGTAAATAAATATTTGCTGGGCCATGTTTAATAATGGGACAGAGAAAGGACTTTGATCAAGTAAGCCTTTTGAGGTTCCTCCCTGTCTATCCCATCTGGTTCATATTAAACTACAGCTATCTGTGGTGATAGATAGCTCCTTTCCTGGAGCAGGTCCTCTATCTTTTCTTTCTAAAACTAACCAGCTTGAAATAATCAGTATCCCAAAATGATATTTTGGCATGGTAAACTTTGGTTCCCCTCACAGATGATGCTGATACTAATGGTCTGGGGATCACATATGGAAACCAGTGCTCTACAACCTCCCATGACTCCTCAGCACCTCGGGGAAACCTCCAGTTTGTTTCCAGAATCCTGCATAATTTCATACCTGTTGGCGTCCCAATACAGCTCATCTCTTTTCTCCCTGTATACCTGTGTAGCTCATAGCCTAGTCACATGGAGCAACTTGATCAGGCATGCTTTTTCTCCTCCAGACTGCACATGTTGTAGCACCTTCTGAAACTTTCCTCTACTTTGTCAGTGGCTGACCACTTTTCTTCCCTGGAGTCTTTGTGATATACGACCAGCCCCTCCCTCCCCTGACCATGCTAGGCCATAACTGTCTAGGGCTGGGTCTTTGTTTCCCACAGAATCACAGACTCTGGGATGACAGGAACCTAGGGCTTTTTGTTGCTCTAGTTCCCAACTTTCCAGCACAGAACAGGTGCTCTATGTAAATGAACAGATAATGGATATCTAGGCTCCCCATCTCTAGCCCACCCCACGGGCCAGGGAGGAGTGACCTTTCCTGAGAGAAGAAACTCAGCAGCTGTGCACCTGAGCCCTTCTAGATTCCTGAACAGAGTCAAAGAACATGGGGTCTTCTCATGGCATCCCTGCTCAGAAATACCACCCCATCTTGGGGAGGTGCCTTTGTGAGACCTTGGTGCACAACGTGTACCCTGCAGCATCCTTTATGCCAGAGACTGCCAACCACACACATGTCCATTAAGGAGATGCTGGAATAATTTATGGGATGTGTGTCCTAGAGGAGGCACTGCTGACATTAAAAAGGATATGGGACCAACTTCTGCATCTCTGGAATGATCTACGAATTACGCTGGGTTGGTGAAAAAACCAAGGTGGAGAAATGAGAATAACATTAGAAAAAGTATATAAAACTATATACACATATATGTGTATTATAAAAAGCAAAGTGCAGAAATGATGATTAGCCAACATTTTATTGAATACTGGACACTGTCCTAAGAGCTTTACAGATATTAAGCTGCTTAATACTCTAACAAGTCCATGAGGTAGGTGCTGTTAACCTCTCATTTCACAGACTGGCAAACTCCAGCACAGGGCGGCGAAATTGTACACCCTGACTGGGAGTGACAGAGCTAGGATTTCTACCCAGGGACTCCGCCTCCAGAGTCTGTAATGGGAACCACCTTACCATACGAGGTACCACTTATATAGAATGAAAGAAAAATGACACATACACACGCATTGCTGGTACTTGCCTGGAAGGAGACCTGAGCAGTCAGTCGACATAGCCTGCGTGCTGGAGAAAGACTGACATTCCACCGTATATTCTTTTGTAGCTTTTGAATTTTTAGCATGCACCTTTTTTACTTTTAAAGTCATCAACTGAACAAGGTCTAATTTATTTTTCTAGAGGAATTTGGAAGTAGAAATCAAAACAAGTACCTCGCTCAAGAAGGGGAGAAACGATTGCCTCCCTAGCCAACTGCTGCCTTTAGCAGCAAGGTCGACAAGGACCAGGGTGAGGAGGCAGAAGACTAGGAAGCTGAGAAAGAGCTAGACAGCAGATGTTTCTGAGCTCCCATGGGACAAAGTGACCAACTAAAACCTTGTTCAAATCCCAGTTTTGCACTTACTGTGCGACCTTGGGCAAATTATTTAACCTCTCTGGGCCTCCTTTCTTCAACTGGCCTTGGTTCCCACTCCTGTCTAGCCTCCGAGCCCCAGCCCTGGGGGGTTCTGAAATCTCCTGATACTTTCCCCTGGGTGTCTTTAGTCCCTCACACCCCCCATGTTCCAAACTAGCCTCACCATCACCTGTCAAACCTATTCTTTTCCGAGGTCCCCATCTCAAGGGCAGCTGACCATCCCTTGGGGCCTTTCCCTAGCCTTGTCCACCCCCCACCCAAGTCTATGAGGCCTATGGCCTGTCCACTTGACCTCCTGAGCATTCCTGCCCCTGTACCTCCTCCGTTGGCCCTGGCCAGCCCTGTTGCCTCCTGCCTTTTTCCCACCCTAACCTTCTCTGGGCACCTAGCCTTTGTCTCCCCCTCTGATCTACATCCAGAGAAGCTGAGGGATCTTCCTAAGGTACAAACCTAACCATGACCCTCAAGAACCCTTCCATGATTCTCTAGTACCCTCAAGAAAGAAGCTAATTTTCCCAAGCTGGTCATTTAGACACTTAAGAGGGGCCCATGTCAACCACTCCGCCCGCTTTCCCCCTATTCACTCCATACTCGTCACAGAAGCTGGTGTCCAACATGCTCTCCATCCTCCACATCTTTGTTCACATGGTTCCTCCTGCCTGGAGTGCCCTCCCCATGCCCTTTCCCCTGTCTAGTATCAAGGCCCTGCTGAGACGCCCCATCCCTTCTTTTATCTCCACAGGGCTTGAAAGAGGTAGCATCTTAGTAGTTGGGTCTTTGGCAGTAAGTGCTATTACTGATATACCATTTTTGGAGGGGGCAAATCTGGGGGGAGTAAACCGAAAATCACCTCCTAGCTCTGTGTCTAAGACAAGGGACCTCCCCTGCCCATGCCTCTGTTTCCTCCTCTGTGGAAAGGGGATGACAATATTGTCTTCCTCATATGTAAAGTACCCAGAACAGGCCTGGCTAAAGAAAGCATCACCAAATAACATGGCAAGATCTGTGAAGTCATCTTGTGAAGTGAGTACTATTATTATTGCCATTTTACAGATAAGGGACCTGAGAATCTCAAGGAAAATGATTGCCCAAGGAGACGGGCAGTATGCAACCGAGTTGGGATTTGAGCCCAAGCAGGCTGCCTCCGGAGCCCACACAATATGCACTTTGTGCTTGGTAAATGGGGATAGCTGATACAATTATGTTGTGGCTAAGAGCAGTGCCTCCTGTGCCATTTTGATCCAGACAGGGATTCTGTTTCTAGAGCAGGATGCAGCCTTGACCAACCTTGACCATTACTGTGTGTCTACTACTACCCAGCATAGAAGAGACAGTCTGAGATGAATTAATGTACAGGTGGGACAAAAGTAGGTTTACTATTGTGAAAACACAAAAGAGTTTATTCTTGTATTATTATTTATTCATTGTATTTTCTATACAACTGTAAACCTACTTTTGCCCCGCCCTATATTCTTTCCACTTGACAGATGAGGAAATCAAGTCTCAGAGAGAGCTGTCCACAGTGTAGTAACCAATTGATCTAGTGCTAGAAATGAGGTCTGAGCCCAGAGTCTGGTAGAACCGTAGACAGTAAATTGCTGAGAGAATTATAGATAGTAAGTTGCTGAGAGAAGCAGATGGAATAAAAGAGTGAGAAACAATGAGTCAGTGAGAGGGAAAGACAGGAACAGTAAGAAAGCCAAAGAGGCACAGAATGTGAGGGAGATGAGAGAAGGGGCCAGGAGAATAAGGCAATGCAGGTGCTGGGAGAGCCCAGGACAGGTACGACAGACAATGAACGGTTGGTGGCAGGGCACTCACAAGCACTGGCATGCACCCAGTGCAGTCTAGTACATTAGCTTGTCATGTGGCCCCTCAGCCATCCAGCCTCAAGGTGCCTGTCCCAGCTACCTGGGGATAGAGGCATAGTTGGTGTGGGAGCCGGTGGTGAGTTGCTGGTGTGCTTCTGACTGGGGGCCCAGAATGTCCACCCGATCGTCCTCATCCTCACTGACACTGGCAGGGCATGGACTGGGCAGCAGGATGAGCTCTGTGAGTCCGTGAAGGTCAGACACGTGGCGGACAGTCTGCAGCACCAGAACCATGATGACCAGGCCCAGGAAGAGGTAGCCTGCGGAGACAGCACAGGGGCCATGGGAGGACTCAGACCCCAGGCAGGGCCAAGGAACTACTGGAGCACCCAGAGTGGGGCTGTGACCCTCAACTTCCCCCTCGGACAGGCCAGGTTCCCCCTCAGGCTCTCCAGAACAAGGTCATGCCCCCGCCCTCAGTCCTGAGCCAGCCACCCCACTCACCTGTGACTAGCACCTTGTAGAGGGCCCGATAGGGCTGGCCAGGGGCTTCCCCAGGCACATAGTCACCCAGGCCAATGGTAGACAGAGAGATGAAGCAGAAGTAGAAGGCATCGAGGAAGCTCCAGGCCTCCTCAAGGTGGGCAAAGACTGCAGCTGGCACCAGGAAGCAGATGGTCACCACAATCGCCAGCAGAACCACCAGGTGCCAGCGGGCTGCCCGCCGGGAGTCCCAACCCCAGTGCGTGCTCAGCCAGGACAGGGGTGCATGGGTCAGCAGCAGCGACAGGTGCTGGGCGGAGGCCGTCAGCAGCAACATGGTGGCTGGAACGCCGAGGAGTGCAAAGGCAATGGAAAAGGCCTTGCCCGCGTCAGTCAGTGGCGTTGTGTACCCATAGCCTGTGGAAGTGATAAGAAAATTCATCTGCCCACTTGGCACCCCTACTTGGGGGTCTGTGGCCACCTTAGACCAAGACCTAATTACACCCTTGAACCTTCTCCCCCCACCCCCATTCTCTCATCTCCAGTAATGGCACCCTCCGACTGCTTAGGCCAGAAGACTTGGCCTCATCCTTGACTCCCGTATCACTCACACCCACTTTCTGTCAGGGAATCCTGTTGTGTCAAACTTCAAATAGACGCCAAACCCACCCACCCCACCCCCACACCTACCCTAGTAGTTTCCTCCCTGGCTTCTCTTCTCCCTCAACCCTTGCCCCCAGTCTGTTGCACCCCATGCAGGCAGACAGGCACTGTGAACACCAGTGTTAAGTCATGTCCCTCCCCTGATCAGAGCCCTCCTGTGGTTCCATCCCACTCAGGTGAAAGGACAAAGTCCTCATCGTGACCCACGATGGCTCCCCACAATCCAGCAGGGAAGTACATTCCCACCCCAGGGTCTTTTGTGCTGCCTGTTCTTTCCCTGTGGAACACCCTTCCCTCAGGTATCCACAGGGCTCCCTTCCCCTCCTTCAGGTCTTTGTCACCTTTGTCAGGTCAAATATCACCGTCTCAGTGGGGTCTTCCCTGACCACCTTATTTTTAATTATTACGCCCTCTTGCCCAACTCTTTTTGAGGGGGGGAGAGGGGTTGTTTTCACAGCACTTAATATCTTCTAGCAAACTGTATAGTTTACTTATTTGGTTATTTTCTGTCTCCCTCTTTCAGGTGCCATCTCCAGGAGGGCAGAGGCTTCTCTGTTTTGTTCACTGCTATAGTCCTGCTATCTGGCACAGAGTGGGCAGTCAGTAGTCAAAATAATAAATGAAGGGTGCAGGCTCTAGTCTGGCTCCCTCCACTCGAAAATGGGTGTGACAAGCTCCACTGTGCTCCTGGAGAGCCTGAGAACACAGGGCCGTGGGTATAAGTTCTGCAAACAGAAACATGATACAGGGGAATTCAGGGATAGATGAGACTGGCTTGCTGTGGCAGTGTGTAAATTAAAATCTCTTTATTTCCCAAAAAAATCAACCCAAAAGTTCAGATATGATGGGGATGGTAAGGGGCCTAGTTTATGTTGACAGTAACATATTTTTGCCTAAAAGATAGCAGATCCAGCCCTATGTTCAATAACATGTAGAGTCATGCACATGAACACATCTTCCATACAAAAGGACCCTGTTTGCATATACTCAAAGAATTGAGAGCAGGGGCTTGAAGAGACACCTGTACACCCATGTTCATAACAGCATTATTCACAACAGCCAAAAGGTGGAAGTAACCCAAGTGTCCATCGGTGCATTAATGGATAAACAAAATGTAAATACATACAATGGAATATTATCCAGCCTTAAGACGGAAGGAAACTCTGACACATGCTACAACATGAATGAACCTTGAGGACATTATGCTAAATGAAGTCAGTCACAAAAAGACAAATACTATATGACTCCACTTATATGAAGTACTTAAGAGTAGTCCACATCATACAGACACAAAGTAAAATGGTGGTTGCCAGGGCTGAGGAGAGGGGCGAATGGGGAGGTGGTGTTTAAGGGTATAGTTTGTTTTGCAAAATAAAAATTGTTCTGAAGATGAATGCTAGTGATGACTGCACAACATAAATGTAACTAATATCAAAAAGGGGCACATTTAAAAATTTTACGTGTATTTTACCATAATAAAAAAATTGAGGAAGCCCTGGCCAGTGTGGCTTAGTTGGTTGGAGCATCATCCTGTAATTAAAAAGTTGTGGATTCAATTCCTGGTCAGGGCACATGCCTAGGTTGTGGGTTTGAGCCCCGGTCCAGGTACAAGAGGCAACCAATCCATGCTTCTCTCTCGCATTGATGTTTCTCTCTCCCCCTTCCTCTCTTTCTAAAAGCAATGAAAAAATGTCCTCCGGTGAGGGAAAAAATAATAAAGTAAAAACATTGGGGAAAAATAAAAAGGACTCTGGTTTTTGCTGGATACCATATGGCCAGCTAGAGTAAAGACATTCCCTCTTCCCTTGCAGCTAGGCATAATTGGAATAATTTCTGGCCAATGAGATATATATATGAAAGAAGCAAACAACTTGCAGGAAGTGTCCATAAAGAGAGGGAGATGCCTATCTTCCTTCTTTCCTCCCTCTTCCTGCTGGCTGAACACAGACAGAAAGGCTGAAACTGAGTAGCCATCTTGGACCATGAGGTGACCCTGGGAATGGAAACTGTGCACAGAAGTGTTATGGAGGAACACAAGGTGCTCTGGCTGTGCAGCACCATTCTGATCCTGAATTGACTATACTGAATGTGAGCAAGAAGTATATTTCCATCTTATTTAAGCAACTATTATTTGAGGTTTTCATTTATGGCTCCAACCCTCATTAAGAAAAGGATTTTGATGGAGAACCCCCAACAGCCTAGCTGAAATGGCAGGTTTGCAAACTGCACAAAATCCTTATAAACAGAAAAATGAGAGTAAGAACAGAATGGGGGATGTGAGTCTCAACTTGCTACTACTCCAAAGAGCGAAGTCCAAATCAGTTTTTTTGCCATTTATTCCCTGCATGACCTTGGCCAAGTGACTTTCCTCTCAGAGGCTGTTTCCTCAGAGTCCTGCAAAATGGGCTCATAAACAATGCCTTTCTCAAATGCAATAGTAATGATCCCACCAGGTTGAGACAAGGCACAGCCTCTAACAAGACATAAAAAGAGTCACCAGAGTTGCTCACTTCTGGTTTGTTGACGATTCCACCCCTGACCTCAATTGCAGCAAGGCTGCCTGGGTCAATTCCAGGCCTCAGGTCTTTCTCAGAGGACATGGGCCTATGACAAGACGAAGGAGCCATGGGAGAGGTCTCTCTGAAAAACCTGGTTTTCTGTTTCTCATACATTCAGAGCTCCAGGCTTCCCCGCCAGTAACAATGAAAACTGAGGCTCAGAAAACTCCAGCTATTATCCCCAGCCCTTCAAACTGACAAAAACTCCCTCCTAACCAACTTTAGCTAGGCCTCTCTGAGCCCTCTTCTTGGCCCAGTCTTATCAAGAACCCTAAGTCAGTTTAGGGAGAATCTCCCCACTCTTGATATCTGATCACATCCCTCATCCTCTACCCTTGTGAGCTGAGGTCCTGGCTTGTCCTTTGCAACAATCCCATTAAGCCAGTGAACAAGAACCCCCTACCTGCCTGTCTCCTCTCAGTAATTTCCCGTCCACTGACCCCTCACTCTGCTCCCTGCTCTGCATCTCCAGCTGTCTTTGTTACATTCACAGTTGAGCTTAGTCTCTCTCCCCTAGTGCAATAACTTACCGTTTTTAACAAGTATCCAAGTAATTTTTCTTTTACAATGTGCACACATCACTCTTCATCATGCAGGCCTAAGAGGTAGTGCTGTGTGTTTGGTTAAGAGCATGGGACTCTGAGGCCTGATGGTCTGGGTTCAAATTTACACTTTACACCTTCCTAGTTGTGTGGCCTTGGGCAAACTGTCCAGCCCCTTTGGGCCTCAGTTTCTACTGCTGAAAAAAATAGGGCCACTAGTTGTACCTGCCTCAAAAGACTATTGTGCTGATTGAGTTAAAACCTGTACGTGGCAAGTCTTCTACCAGCTTTTACATTACTGTGAAGTGCGGAGAGTTATTATCCTCGTATTATAGATGAGGGAAGACACTGAGGCCTAGAGCTGAGCAGTGGCTGAGCAGGGATCTGAACCCAGGCTGTGCCTGCCTTTGGATTCTTCACCTGCCCGGCCTAGAACGATCTCATAAGCCAGAATCTGGAAGGGGGTTGATGGAGACACTCATGTGATCCACTGAAGCTCAGGAACAGGTTGGGCAGGTCCAGCCAGCAGAACAGATTGTGAGAGGAGCATCTAGCCCTGCTGCCCATGGCTTTGGTTTGCTGGTCCACACAATGGGCTACCAAAGGCAGAGGCCATCTGCTATTGCAGGCAGGGAGGAGGAGTTAGGAGTCTGGGCTGGGCCTGCTCCAGCCCCCACCTCCCCCCAACCCACAGTCCAAATTCCAAACGAAGAGAGAAAGAGGAAGTTTGGGGGAGGGGATGTGGAAAGACCAGCAGAGCTTGACAACAGGGATTTCCCAGGTCTGCAGGGTGCTGGGGTGTGAAGTTAATGGGTAGGGCTGGGAGGAGGGGGTTGATCCCCCCTGAGGAGGCTGGTTTCCAGATAAAGGGATTTGGAAGTGGGTAATCTGAATTCAAAGGCCAGTGTCCTGGTTTGAAATGGATCCTGGTTTGGGGTCCAGAGGAAAGAGGGGACAGGCACCAGAGGGGACATTTTCTGGGTCACAAATAGGATTGGGAGGGGAATTCTCAGGTGGAGTGGGGTTTTGAGCCCAAGGATGCCTGAGGGGACATGATGAGGGTAGGTAATGCTAAGCGGACAATGGGACAGGGTGGGTATCTTGGGTCCTGTCTGAGCATGTCAAGGGTGGAAAGTGGTCATGGTCTTGAGTGGATACTGGGTAGGGCTCTGGGGTGCAGGGGGCCTGGTGTATCCTTGGTGGAGGGGAGAATTTCAGATCCAAGGCAGGCTGGGCAGTACTAGGGTAAACAGAGAGCTCCCAGCTGTGGGTTTAGAGATTGGAGGGGTTCCAGGTGCCCAGGGGATTTCCTTTTTTTGGGAAATCCAGGTTGAGGCTGGGGCAAGGGAGTGGGAGTGTCTCAGGGTAGGGGTAGCAGGTGCAGAGAGTGGAGTCTCTAGTCTGGTATCTGGTATTGTGTTGGGGGGAGGGGTGGGGAATATTCTGTTCTCAGTGACAGTGTGTGTGGAGGGTGCTGGGGTCCCTGATAGGAAGTTCAAGTGGTTCTGGGGCTCTTCATGAGGGGTGTGAGTAAAGAGTGGTGAGTCTCAATTAGGGGTTCTTGGCTTCAAAGAGGCCCCCCATGGGGAGTCCCTGGTTTGAAAAGTAGTAGTGGTTTTGCTGGAGTCAGTTGTGGATTGGAAGCGAGGAAGTCCTGGCTGGGGGGGCTTCTGGAGGGTGGTTTGCTTTCTCCATTGTGGTTCCCCTTCACACATCCACAGTTAGGGGCTGCTAAAATGGGAGTTCCAAGTTCAACAAAAACCAAAGTGTCTCTACTGGGAGAAAACCCTGCATTGAGGGCTCCCCAGTACAGGGGAGATGTCAAGATGGAGTAGGGTATGTGGACACTGGTCCTGTGTCTGGAGTCAGGGCTTACCTGCTGGGGACTATGAGGGTGTGGGTAGGCAGGGGCCCTTGCTGGGGAGTGGTCTAGATCCACAGGGGTGGACACCTCAGAGGGAGGCCCCAGGTCCTGGCTGAGGGATCTCTACTGGCAATAAGGTCTTCAGCGATGGCACCCTCACGTCTGGAGATTCAGGGTTCTGGCACCAGGGTCAGGAGGAGGTTGGGTTAGGGCTTCCCAAAGGGTGTCCTGAAAGGACATATCTGGACGCTCAGGAAGCACTTTTGGAGGGGACGGCATTCTGAGCCCAGAGGGAAGGGCAGAGGTCCTTAGCAGTTAAGATCTGGGTCCAGAGAGGGTGAGGGTCTCAGGCCCAGGGTCCCGAGTCCCCTGCTGAAGGTCCCTGAGGATAGTCCTAGGCCCAGCGAGGACTAGGTGGACCCAGGTCTCCAAGGGACTCAAGGCAGAGTACTGTCCTCCCAGATGTTCCCTGGATGGTATTCTGAGTGCGGACCACGTCCTGGAGGGAAGGGGGGGAGGGGAGCGGGTTTCCTGCTGGGAGGAGAGGCTTGGATGGGGGCTTCCCGCGGGGGGCGGGGTGGGGGGAGGATCCCACGACTGTGGATCCTGGGTTTTCTCTGAGGGGTTTTGAGGGGATCCTAGGCCCAGAGCGGACTGGAGTGATCCGCTGGGTTAAGGCTGTCCTGTGAGGGGTCCCAGGTCCTCGCTGGCTCGGGGGTTGGGGCGACGCTCACGTACCCACGGTGGTGACCAGTGTGCTGGTGAAGAAGAGAGCAGAGGCAAAGTCCCAGGCGGGGTCTGAGGCGTTAGCGGGCCCCGAAGCGTTGGCGAGAGCAGCGCGCCCCAGCCGCCCTGCCGCCAGCACGCGCTCCACGAAGGCGTCCAGGGCAGGCGCGGCCACGCACGGACTTCGCCGCAGCAGCTGCTCCCGCAGCATCTCCAGCTCCGCGCGGAGCCGAGCCTCGTGTGGCCCCTCCAGCCGGGCCACCAGCAGCGCGCCCAGCCCCAAATACGCAGCATAGGCGGCCAGGGCACCCGCCAAGAGCGCGCCCCGCCGCATGGCGCCCTCCCGCCTGCTCGTTCCCTGCCGGCTCCCCGCCGAGCCCTGCCGCCCAGCTGACGTGGCCCCCGCCTCCCGAGGGCCCGGCGCCCAGCTTCAGTTCCGGGAGTGCTCGAGGCGCGGCCCCCAGCGTCCCAAAGAGGAACCAGAGGAAAAAGGGGAGGGGTGGGGGTGGAGAAGCGCCCCGCCTCCGAGAAACTGAGGCACGCCCCACCGCCAGGTGTTAATACCGAGAGTGGAGCCCAGCGCTCTGAGACAGAGGGGAAATACAGGTTGGAACCGGTGGGGCATTCTGCCTTTCCTTCCAACCCTTCCCTCTCTGACTCCCAGGCGTCGCGGCTCCTTAAGTCAGAGAGAATCCGAACTCTCAATTCCGGCCGTAGACCGCGGAGTCGCACCCTGGCTCCTCCGGGCCATCGTGCATGGCTGCGGAGATTGTGCTTTGCATCCAGGTACTTGGCTGAGGGGACACGGGGACAAATTGACATCCAGTCCTCGCTCTATTCGTCAAGCTGTGTGCTCTGGAGTGGAGTTGCGTCCCCCGGAGGGGAGGTCTGTCTAATTCACAACACAGGAGCAGGTGTCCCCTCGTCGGTATCTTATTGTATTTTTTTAAAGATTTTATTTACTTATTTCTAGAGAGAGGGGAAGGGAGGGAGAAAGAGGGAAAGAAACATCGATGTGAGAAACACCCATCGGTTGCCTCTCATGCGTGCCGCCACCGGGACCAAACGGCAACAGGCATGTGCCCTGACGGGTAATGGAACCGACGCCCCATCTCTTTGCGGGAGGATGCCCAGCCAACTGAGCCACACAGGTCATAGCAGCCGACAGAGTGGGAATCTTTAGCTCTTCACTAAATCTTTGTTCAGCACTCACTTTGTGCGGGGCCATTAGCTGAGTGATGCTTGGGACACAACAGTGATCATGACAGTTCTGGAACTTACCCTCAGAGTGTTCCCAACACTTCTACAGAGTGATAGCCCAGAGGGAAGCATGGGCAGAGTGACCAGCTGAGATGGTGGATGCCTAGAAGACTGTGGAGCCCAGAGCAGGCAACTGCCACAGCTTTTGGGAGATCAAGAGAGCTTCTGGAAGAGGGAAGTAATAAGGTGAGACATGACGGATGAACAGGAATGAGCCAGGGTCTCTTTGCCAAGCAAAACCACAGATCCATACCTCCACTGAAGGGGAAATTGTTCCTTCCCTGTTCCCCCCGGTATATTTCTCCACATCCTCTTCCAGCTGGAACTCAGCACTCTCTCTCTCTTCCAGAGGGCAGACCAGAGACCTAACCACATCTGACTGGCAGCGTGGGGCTGGTGGCCCAGCTCAGACACACCCAGCCAGTTCTATTTATAAAACTGTGGCAGCTCTTGGGAAGAGCCAAACTTGGGGCTTAGAACTCACAGGAAAAGATGCCTGATAATACAGTAGGAACAGTAGGGGCCAGTGATCAAAGGTTTCAACATGTCAGGTCCTGTGGACACATGAACTTGTATTGAATCCTCAGCCCCTCCTCCATTATTCCCATTAAACAGATGAGAAATTTTAGGGTTAAAAATTTCGTAGTCACAAAACTGGTAAGGTGTGACTCATGTGAACATGAAGTGAGCAGAAAGCCAAAATAACTTGCTTCAGTAATAAAAAATATTCACAGAATTTAGAAAAGAGAGGGAAAACTGAGGATGAGAAAAGGCTGGTGGAGCCCAAGGGTCAGATAATAAACCGGAGGTGCAGAAGAGGAATGAGGGTACCTCACTCGCAAAAAAAGCCTGCAACTAAGCCAGGACTCATAACTGAGAGGCCAGAACAGCCCTCAAGGTCCCCCCACAAAAACTGTCTTGGAAGAGGAAAAGGAAAGCCACAGTGACAGAGTCACTGGCTGACATCATTCCGGAGTGCTATCACTGCCCAGAAGTCACTTCTACCATTATCTTTTCCTGAGATAAGAGGAGGAGAGTGAGGGACAGAGAAAGGGAGGCTGGGCGGGGGGGGGGGGGGGGAGGAAAAAGGGGAGACTTAGTGAGCTACATGGGGAGACTGAGAGACAAAGAAAGAAGAGACTATGGAAGCTTAATTCTCAGGGCTCCTCATTTGCAGATGTGCCCGTGTGTGCTATGAGTTGCTGGGGGATGTAGTAGTATTTTTGGAGGCCTGGGAAAGCCAGGTCGCAACGCAAAACATTTTCATGCTTTTCTGGGAAAACATCTGAAGATATCTTTCTCTTGGATACCTTGGTTCTTATTACCTGATTTTCCGAGTGTCCTTTTCTCACACTAAACGGCTCACTTCAATACCTAAGTTCTGCCAAAATTGTATTAAGTGTCAGAACCCGGATCACTCCGTTTAGCCCCTCGGGAACACAAATGGATTACTCCTTTCCGGCTCCACTCTCTACGCTGGCTCCAGCTTGCTCTAAACCACCCAAATTGAGCGTCTGCCCTTAGAGAACTCCATTTCCCATAGGCCTCTTCGCTCTACACCTACCTTTCCCATCATGCATTACATGTCTCCTTCTATGATTGTTCCTCTGCCCGCCCTCCTGTTGCTCCAGTCATGACTCTTGGCTTACATCACGGGCCTCCAGCCCTCCACTTTTACCCACAGCCAATTCGTCCAGGCCTTCGCAAGGGGGCGTAGCTTATGAACAATCGTATTGCCTATTGGCTGTTGAGTCGCCGGTAGGGCGTGGCTACGGAAGCCGGGCGGGCGCCTTTCGAACCGTGCCTGGGGAGGTGGTGGCAGCGATCGAGGATGCACCAGGCCGGCATGGCGACGGCGGGGACGCCCCGGCAGCGTAAGTGGCGTACGTGGCCTGCCGAAGAGATCGGGCGGGCGGGGGCCCCGAAGTCAGATCTGGAGCTGCGAAGTGTGCGTCGCGCAGGGATGCCAGCGTTGGGGTTGATTCTTCTTTAGGGAATTTTTTGGGGAGGAAACAACTTTGGGCAGGGTACTGTATGATAGGCAGAAAAGCGTGATTTTCATTGATTTTCAGGAAGTGATCAGCCTTCTCCATACCTTTCGGTGGCCATGGACTGTAGCCCATGCCTTAGGACAGCGTTCATACCCCTTCGTGAGCGAGGAGGGCCATAATTATCCCTCATTGAAGACTGAAACTGTATTTATTGTGCCGTTAACCTCCTTTTTCCATCTTTATGATCGTATATCTCTAAGTTCCTCTCCATCTCCATGAGTGTACGTTCATCTTATTTTTTCATTCAACACATCCTGCCTCAGCTCCCTTGTTCCCAGCCTGGTGCTGAAATGTGGATACCTGGTTAGTGACCAGCATATCACTGGTCCTTGTTAACTTACAGCTCAGAGTTTAGTTGGAAGACTGACACTAAACTCAGAAACAAACAAGTCAGTCAGATAATTTGGGGACTAATTAGGGCTGTAAAGGGAATAATTCAGTATGTCACTAGGAGTTGGAGAGGCCTTTCTGTTGAGGGAAACAGTGTGGTGCGCTCAGTCCTCTCTTCAACCATCAATAAGGTGCCAGGCTGGCCCTGTGGTTGGTGATGCTGGAAATACAGCAGTGCCCCAATAGGTTCCTGTCCTTGTGGAGCGACCAGTACAGAGCAGAAGACAGCACCAAGCTAGAGGGATGGACCTATGATGAGAGAAGCTGCCCAGGCAGAGGGGTTAGGGCCCGGGTCAGGGAAACACAATCAGAGTGGTTATGGCTGGGATGGAGGGGTTGCGATAGCCCAGGTTAGGCATGTGACCCAACCTGGGGTATTAGTGAAGCTTCCTGAAGAGGTAAGTGTAATGATGAGGAATTAGTCCAGAGAACGGGATTTGTGGTGAGCAGGAATAGCATTGGAAATCTGTACTGAGTAAACAAATAGACAAATGAATATATATGTAGCAATTGTGATAAGTGCTCAGAAGGGAAAAAAAGAATCACTGGATATTATGAGAAAGAACAAACTGGGGCTAGTGCTGTATATTGAAGAGTGAGAAAGATCTCTCTGAGAAGGAAACATTTGAGCTGAGTCCTGAGTACTGGATTGACAGTTGTTAACCGTGGGGACGATGGACTTGCATGTTCAAAAGTCTGTGGGGGCTGTGACTTGGCAGGGCCAGAGTCCAAGAGGAGGTCATTGTGGCTGGGATGCAGTGAACCCTGAGGGGAGGTAGTAAAGGAGGATGGTTGGCAGGGCTGGGCCCTGCAGGGCCTCGCAGGCATTTGGATTTTATTCTCAGCACAGTGGGCCCTGATCTTAGGCAGAGGACAGGAAATGTTATTTATTTATTTATGTATTTATGTATTTATGTATTTATATTTATTTTTAGAGAGAGGAGAGAGAGAGAAAAACATTGATGTGTGACAGAAACATAGATTGATTGGTTGTCTCTTGCATGCCCCCAACTGGGGACCTGGCCCAAAACCCAGGCATGTGCCTGGACTGACTAGGAACCTGGGAATCAAACCCAGCCTCTCCATGGGTTGGCCCATTGAGGCACACCAGTCAGAGCAGGAAATGTTCTCTTTTGCATTTAAATAGATCACTCTGGCTGCCTACTGGGGAGAAGGTTGGTGCAGCTAAGAATGGACAAGAGGACCTGGGAAGGGGACATTTAAGTCAGGTGCAAGATGACACAGTCTAAGAGGGAAGGGTAACATTGAGACATAGTGGGTGAGAACCAGTGATTGGTTGGTTAAATGCCAGGCAGAAGGGGAATTGGGTTTGGAAACTGAGGTCAGGGCCCAGGGGCAGCCAGAGAGCATTGTCAGGAAGTGGCTGACCTGGATCTGGCCACAGGAGAGAAGTGGCGGCTAGAGATGGAGAGCCCGGAGCCCAAGGCACACTGTCACTGTGCAAGCTCTGGGTGCGGGTGAGATTGCCCTAGGTGAATGACAGAAGACATGGCAAGGGTGGAAAATTATTGAGTCACACGTTTCAGGGAGCTGGAAATAAGTCACTGATTGAGAGGGACTGATCGGGAGACACAGCTCCATGAGGACGCGAATTTTATGTCCTTTTGATCATTGCTGCCTGCACCAGAGCCTAACACAGAGGGGTGCTCAGTAGGTGTTTGTGGGGCTCAAGAAGGAAAGAGAAAAAGATACAGTGTGTTGGAAGCCAAGAGAGCAGAGTTGAAGGCTGGCATTTGTGGCAATGCAGCCAGTGCTGTGAGGACTTGAGTTGGATGAGAGCGGGGTTATGGCCTTGGTCTGGTGGTGCAGAGAGCCTTTAGGAGGCCGGTGGGAGCAGGACCCCAAATGCCACTGGCTGAGGGGGTTCCACCGAGGGAGTAAGGGCTCGCACCGGAGCTTTCAGGAAGCAACCCTTCAGACCAGAAATGGGAGAGGGGAAAAGAGAAATGGAACTTGAGGACAAGTGGGCTAGGCCCACTGCTGTGTGCTTTGGGATTAAGGACACCTGGGCCAGGTTTCTGGCTACAAATAATTGAGAGGAAGAGCTAAGGGTCTCAAGTTGGTAATAGGTGCCAGGCCAGGGGCTGAGCAGTTAATGAGCATCACTTTGCCTTGGACTGTTACTTGCTTTCTACAGGGGAGAGAATTGAGGCACAGAGAAAGTCACGATGCAAATGATTTGACTCCTTCTCCTTCACATTGTAATCCTACCACCCTGTTCCCTGTGCCCACAATGGTGCCAGCACATAGGAGAAGCTCTGTGAATATTGGCTGTAGCAGCATCGCTTGTTGGTTAGAAGTAGGGGCCCCGGAGCCAGAATGCTGAGTTCAGATTGGCTGTCTCCATATTCCTGTTTCCTTCCTCTTCCTTACTCTACCCTAACTAAGCATACCTCTAGCAAGTCCTGGCCCGCCTGCCTCCAAAGTCTTTCCAGAGACAACCCATCGCCTACTCCTCTGTCCCCACCTTTCATCCTACCTGTAGCACCAGCAACTTCTTCCCTTCTCTCCTCTCCTCTCCCTATCCCCATTCCCAACATGAAGCTGAAGGGACTTTTTTAAAAACTTGAACCCTGGCTCTGCCTCATACTGTCTGTATGACTTTAGGCAAGGGCCTGTGAACCTCTTTGGGGCTTGCTTTTCCCATCTGTAAAATGGGGGTGCTAATAGCATCAACACAAATGGGTTGTTGTGAGGATTAAATGAGTTAATCCATAGTGTTCAGAACATGGCCTGAAATGGGGTTAGTGCTCAGTTGGGGCTGAATTTTCATAATATTTATTGGGCAACCTGGGTTGGACTCCTGCTCTTCACTCACTCAGTTTGGCCCTATGCACAAGACGTTTTGCCTGTCTGGGCCTCAGTTTCTGCATCTGTAAAATGGGGATGGCTACTGATTCATTCATCTGGTTTTTATCAAGTACTGCATACAGGATTCAGCCATGAACAAGAAAAAGATTTTTGAGGGCGGACAGGGAACAAAAGGAATAAAACATCTAACATCTCAGCTGGTGCTAAGTTCTGTAGCTATAAATGAAGCAGGGAAAGGGGATGGGGAATGCCACCTAGGGAGGCCCAGGTGTAGACAGGATGGTGGGAGAAGGCCCCACTGAGCCAAGACTTCAAAGAGAGCAGTGAGCCATGAGGGCATCTGAGGGAAGAGTGTTCAGGCAGACGAACAGCCAGTGCAGCGGCCCTGAGCTGGGAGCATGCCCGGTGTGTTCAGTGAGCATTGAAGCCCATGTGGCTGAAGCTGACTGAGAGGGGAACCATGAAGAGGGATGTGGACAGAGACCTTGTTTGTAAAAAGCTTAGTACAAGGTTCTGTGCACAGTAGGCTCTAGTACATAGTAGCTATCAATGTCATCATCCTTGATATTTGGATGGATGAACCTACCCACACTTGACTGGTTGACCCATCTGATGTGAAAACCAGTGCCCCACTGTGGCAGGATGTGAGGGAGTGTACTCACAGAATGAATGAGACTTCCACCTCTCTCCCCTCGCAGCCTCGAAGCGGAGGATCCCTGTGTCCCAACTGGGCATGGCTGACCCCCACCAGCTTTTCGATGACACGAGCTCAGCCCAGAGCCGGGGCTATGGAGCCCAGCGGGCACCCAGCAACCTGGGCTACCCTACAGCCTGCACCTCGCCCCAGGGGGCCTTCCTGACTGATCCCGTGTCCAACATGGCCATGGCCTATGGGAGCAGCCTGGCTGCACAAGGCAAGGAGCTGGTGGATAAGAACGTGAGTGGGCCAGGCTGGTGGGGTTTGGGGGAAGGCTGGGCCCATGGGGCCAAGGCTTCAGATAGAGCTCTGCCTCCCCAGATCGACCGTTTCATTCCTGTCACCAAGCTCAAATATTACTTTGCCGTGGACACCTTGTACGTGGGCAAAAAGCTGGGCCTGCTCTTCTTTCCCTACCTGCATCAGGTCAGAGCACTACCCCATTGAGGTCTGAGGGGGAGACAGCCTCTGGGTAGGGGGCAATGGGAGGGGGTTGAGTCAGAGGCTGGGGCAAGCATGAGGGACAGGGTAGGAAATTCACCCAAAGAGAGGACCTGTAAGCTGGGTGGAAGGAGCCCAACTCTGGAGGTCCTTGCCTGCTCCCCCCACTATCCCTACAGGACTGGGAGGTGCAGTACCAGCAGGACACGCCAGTGGCCCCCCGCTTTGACGTCAACGCTCCTGATCTCTACATTCCAGGTTTCACCCTACCCACCAGGGCCCAGTACCATCCTCCCTCTGGGTGGGCACGTCTAGGGCAGAGGTGTAGGTGCCGGGTTGCCCAGGATGGTCCTTCCTCTGACCTGTGTCTGTGTGTCTGCCTCCCACAGCTATGGCTTTTATCACCTATATCTTGGTGGCTGGCCTGGCACTGGGGACCCAGGAGAGGTGAGTGGACTCGAGTGGGTAGAGTAGTGAGGGGTTTGGGAGCTGAGGGGTAGTCAGGACAGTATCTTGGTGCCCTCTTTCAGAACAGCCTCACCGTTTGGCCCAAGACAGAGCCCTAGGTGTTATGCTCAGGGTCACCTTCTTTCCCACCCACATGTGATTCTCTAAATCCATCCTTCCCCTTGGCCTCCACCACCAGATCCAGTCTCATCCTCGCCCTCTCCTAGCTAGCTGCCTTGACCCCACACACCCCCTGCACCTCAGCTCTAGCAGCAGCCAGAAAGGTCTAGTCCCACCCTGCTCAGAAGCTATCCATAGCGCCCTGGCCCCAGACCAAGTCCCAGCTCCTTAGCCCTGCACTGTCCTCCAAGAGGCCTTTCTCTGCCCCTCCTTACTCTGCTGTTCCACTCTGGTCCTCTTTCCATTCTCCAGAGGGCCTGATACTGCCATCCCAGGGCCTTTGCACATCCGGTTCCCTTTGCTCAGGAGTCTGTTCTGCCCCTATATCATCACCCCTTCGCTCAAGATGTCTCCATTCCAGTGTCACTTCCTTGGGGAAGCCTTCCCACCCCCACCCCGCAGGCTGGGTCAAGCCCCCACCTTTTGCTCATAGGCCCCTGTTCATTTCCTTTGTGGCACTGAAAATAATTGTCATCTGAATACATTTAATTGTTTCTCAAACTGGGGATATGGGGATAATTGAGAGACCAGGGTCCTTTGTTCCCAGCCCACTGTTAACTTCTTCAGACCTCAGTGCAGTGTCCCCTTCTCTGGGAAGGCCTGAATCCCCCTCTCCACTGGGTCAGTCACCTCCCTACCCTGTGCTTCCCCAGTCCCAGCCCTAGCGTGTTGTCTAGGCTGTCACTGAGGATAGGTCTGCCTTTCCTGGAATGGGACTTCCACGAGGACAGGACCCAGATCCACCTTGGTCACTGCCGGGTCTCCAGCCCCACCCAACATACGCAGTTCCCAAGCGGATCTTTAGGGAGGGTTTGAGCAGACCAATCGAGTGACAGCTTGGGTACCCACAGGTTCTCCCCAGACCTCCTGGGTTTGCAGGCCAGCTCAGCGTTGGCCTGGCTGGCATTGGAGGTGCTGGCTATCCTGCTCAGTCTCTACCTGGTCACTGCCAACACTGACCTCACTACTATTGACCTGGTGGCCTTCTTGGGCTACAAATATGTTGGGTGAGTATCACCGTGCCCCCTACTACCAGCCCCAGCCCTGGGCCTCTTCCTCACACCAGCCTTCCCCTCTTCCCCCCAGGATGATTGGCGGGGTCCTCATGGGCCTGCTTTTTGGAAAGATTGGCTACTACCTGGTGCTGGGCTGGTGCTGCGTATCGATCTTTGTGTTCATGGTGAGTTCGGGCTCAGGGCAGCATGAGGTTGAGAACATAGGCCTCTTGGACAGAGTTGGGGTCCCTTGGAAGCAATCAAGCAGAGGATATCAGGTGGGGAGTTTAGACCAGAGCTACATTGCTGAACTGAGGAGCCCTGGAGTGCGTGTCATAGCCTGGGGGTCAGGAAGGCTTCCTGGAAGAGGGGGTGTTGAAGCTGGGGCTTGAAAGAGAGGAGCCAGCCAGACTGCTAGGGTGGGCAGGCGCTCACCCTCCCCCACTCTGCTTTCACGGTGAGCTTTCCTTCCAGAATTTCCTTCAGGATGAAAAAATTTCCAGCACTCCCGAAGTAGCTTGTTTGAGGGCCCTTAGTGGAGGTGCTGGTTAAGCACTAGCATTCACTAGGCCTGGGTTTGACCCTAAGCTTCGCTGGATCCTGGGCAGATCACGTCCTCTTTTTCAACCTCAGTTTTCTCTTTTGTAATTTGGGGATGATGATAACTGCACTTCAGGATACTTGGAGGACAGTGTGAGGAGCAGACGGCACAAACTGGTAGCTGGTGGGTCACATCTAAACATCAGATAAACTTTGACTTAGATGTTGTTATTTACAAGATTTTTTTTTTTTTTAAAAAAAGGGCATTTTGGTTCGTGTTAAAAATTATCATCTGACCAACATAAGCAGGTGACAGCAACCAGAGCCGCATTTGGCCACTCCTAGGCAGGGTAATCACAGTGCTTCCTCACCTCACTCAGGGGCCTGGCCTGGGTTTGAACCCTTATATTTTCTCACAAGGTCTGGGGAGGGTCATCACTATCTGTTAGATTTGGGAAGCTAAGGAGCCCCAGAAGCTGAGACTCCAGCCCAGCTGCCCCTGTGGAAGGAGGGAGAAAACGGAGGCCGCAGAGGGGCAGGGACTGGAAGTACCCAGGCGCCCTGCCTGGCCCAGAAGGCTCAAGGGTAACCCCTACTGGCCCCAGATCCGGACGCTGCGGCTGAAGATCCTGGCGGAGGCTGCGGCTGAGGGAGTCCCAGTGCGGGGGGCACGGAACCAGCTGCGCATGTATCTGACCATGTCCGTGGCGGCGGCACAGCCTCTGCTCATGTACTGGCTCACCTTCCACCTGGTGCGGTGAGGGTGGTAGGGCCCGCCTCTAACTGCTGTTCCTGGAGGCTCATCTGCCAAGCACCTGCCAGCCGCAGCTACTATGGTCCAGACGCCCCCCTCCGTGCACCAGCACCACAGAACCCCCCACCAGGTGCAGACGTCCCCAGCTGTGCCGGCCACACACCCCCCGCCCCCCCCCCCCCCAGCAGACGGCTGCTGTTCGTGAAACAATAAACCGTGGTGGGCGCAGCGTGGGTGGCCTCTCCTTGGTGGCTGCGCCGTTGCCCGGCAGGGGGCAGACCAGTCTCGCAGGGAAGCGGGTGGGCGGAGCAGGTACAGTTGATAGCTGCCTGCAACCAGGGGCCACCAGAAGGCCTAGAGATTTAATGAGCCAAGCCCAAACCCATAGATAGGAAGCCTTCTTACCTTTATTTTTCCACCTTGGGCTCCTTGACCTTGCTCAGGGTGCTTTCCAGCGTTTCTGAGCCTGCAGAGTGGGGCTGTGGGGCCGAGAGCAGTGGGGATGAGAGAGGAGACCCCTTAGTGAAGGGGTTACCCAGGTTCTGGGCTGAGGCACGGGGCACTACCCACTTGGGAGCAGCAAGCCTTTTACCTTCGCCTCCATGCTGGAGCTGCTGGAGCTGCTGGGGCTGTGGCCATGCTAGTTGAAAAGAGTGAGGCTGAGCGTCCTCAAGTTGAAAGCCTGAGCTCGAGGCTCATCAGGACCCTAGGGTCAGAAACCCCCATTCCACCATACTCCCTCCCCAGTGGGATGTGTCCATTTGAAAGGTGATTTACCTTCTGGTTAGCTGTCCCTGCCTTTGATAGACCTGGAACTTTGGGGAAGCTGTGCTTGGGATCACTCACCTGGCCTGCCTATTTAGGCTTCTTGGAAGTGGACTCCAGGGCTGCTGAGAGGAGGAAGATCATCTGGATTGGCACAGGGAATGGTCCCCTGAAGTTCAAGGTCCTCACTCCCAGGAGCATACCTGCCACAGGTCTAACTTTATGTGGTAAGAGAAGGTGTGTTCAGTCAGGTGTCAGGCGGGGAGCAGTGGGACCTGCCTTCCCAAGGAATGCACAGGAACCCCACCAGACCTTTGTTGGGAGTCCTTAAGCTCTGACTCAGCCTCTCCCAGCAACGCCCAACTTTCCCTCTGGGCAATGGGGAGGGTGGACAGTTAACTACTAAATAATAAAAATAATAAAAAACACGCTCCCACCTCCAGCCTTGCAAATAAGGACTAGGGGTTGGGGTGGGCAGTTGTGGATTTCTGGGAGGGGTGCTAGAGGTGTCATCAGCTTCCCCCCAAAGGGTTGCTTGCTGTGATCTGTAAGAATATTATCACTCCCTGTGTTTATTGTGTGCCATGCTAGGTGTTATTCCAAAGGCTTCACATACATTAACATCCCTCTTTGTCCTGGTGACAAGCAGTTTAGAAGGGGAAAGAGCATGAACTTGGGACCAGCCTGCTGAATTTGAAGAGCAGCTGTACCACTTAGCAGTGGGGTGACCTAGGGAAAGTTGCTTCACCTCCTTGTGCCTCAGTTTTCTCATCTGTGAATGACAGCTGCCATATGGGGGCAAAGTAAGAATCAGATGGATTAGCTTCCTAGACCTGTGCCTGGCAGAGTTAAGTGGTGATGAAACAGTTTTGGCTTTTTTAAAAATAAAAGGTAGACACTGTTGTTATCCCTGTTTTGCAGATGAGAAAACTAAGGAAAACTTTTGCAGAAGTGAGATGATGAGGGGCAAATGCAGCAATGAACAGACTCGAGCTGGGATTCACATGCAGGCGGTGTGGCTTAAGTCCAAGGCTGTGCCTGGTCCCTCTATCTCACCTTGGAGTGTGCTCAGAAGGGGCAGCCAGAGGAACCCAGCCTTCCCTCTCCACACTGGGCTGGCCCCAGTCAGGCTGGGGCTGAGCCACCTGCTCCCTTCACTGTGAGGCTAAGTGTCCTCCTGAGTTTTTGCCCAGCCCTGCCACCAGCAGCTGGGCAGACTGTACCTATAGCAGTGAGCAGATGGGGACAGGTGGCTGGGGCCTAGGGATAACGATGAATGTGCAGTAATCAGCCAGTGCACTCAGGTCTCTGCTCCAAAGTAGACCTTTGGAGCTCCTCTTTACCTTAGAGGAGCCTGCCCTGATGGCTGGCTCCACCAACACAGCCCTTGCTTAGCGCACTCTGAAGTTACCTTTATTCTCACTCATTCCAGCACCGTATTTTTTCAAGCACCTACCATGTGTCCAGCACAGTTCAAGTGCTGGGGGTACAGAGGTGAACAAAGTTTCCAGCTTTCTGGAATTGACAGCCTATGAGGGAAACAAGGTAAAGTATATAGTATGTTACAAAAAAAACCCTGAAAACTAAAATGACAATGGGTTGGAAATGGATAGGCAGAATGCCATATATGTATACAACAAAAAGGATGAACTGACACGTGCTACATTACAGGTGAACCTCAAAAACATGCTAGGTGAAAGGAGCTAGGCACAAGAGATTACCTGTTGTGTGATAGCATTTATATGATGTACTCACAGAAGTCAGTTAGAGTGGATTAGTGGATGCTGGGAACTGAGTGGGAATGGGGATTAACTTAAATGGACAGGAGAGGTCTTGGAGTGAAGGGGAGGAAATGTTATGAAACTGATGTATGGAGACAGTTGCACCACTTGATAAAGTTACTAAAGATCACTGAATTATACATTTGAAAGGGGTGAGTTTTATGTAATTTATACACCCAATAAAAACTTTTTAAAAAAGTAATATGTGCTAAGGAGAAATACAGCAAGAAAGGAGAACAGGTAATACCTGTATGGGAGGGGTTGGATTTTAAATAGTCACCAAGGAAAGCATCACTGAAGTCACTTTTCAGATCTGAAGATGAGAAGACAAGCCATATAAGCATCTGGAGGAAGAGTGTTCTAGGCAGAGGGAGTATTAAGTGCAAAGGCCCTGAGGCAGGAATGCACCTGTGTGTCTGAAGAGCTGCAAGGTCAGAGTGGCAGTGAGAATGGAGGGAAAGAAAATAGAGAGGAATGGAGGTAGTGTCCTGTAAATCAAAGATCTTTGTTCCTTACTCTGAATGAGAAGAGAGGTGAAATTACCATGGTTTCCCCCACAACTGGATGCAGGATTTGAGAGAAAGTGGCTATCTCTCCTGGCAGGTCATAAATTCCAAGTGTGGGGGATCTTGTCCACTTTGCTCAGCACCCAGAGCAGTATAACTCAGAGTTGGTGCTGCTCGTCATTGGTGAATGAGTGAAGTTACCTGATGCGAGGCAGGTTAGCACAGAGTGGCTACAAGTTCGAGTTCTGGAGGTCAGTCTGCTTACAGGCGAACCCTTGCTCTACCCCTTACTGCTCTGTGGACAAATAAGCAGTCACTCTGGGCCTCAAGTTTCCTTCTCTGAAAGTGGAAAACTTACCTTATAAAGTAGATGGTTTCCCACAGAGCCTGCCTGGTATATGGTAAATATATGCTCAATAAATGTGAGGGTTGATTTATTTTTAGAGGACAGGAGAAACATATCAGTTTGTTGTTCCACTTATTTATGCATTCATTGGTTGATGCTTTTTAAAAAGATTTTAAAAATTTATTTCAGAGAAGGAATAGGAGGGAGAAAGAAACATCAATGTGGGGTTGCATCTTGCGCACCCCCTGCTGGGGACCTGGCCCGCAACCCAGGCATGTGCCCTACACTGAGAATTGAATTGGTGAACCCTTTGGTTTGCAGGCCAGCACTCAATCCACTGAGCCACACCAGCCAGGGCTCATTGGCTGATTCTTGTATGTGCCCTGACCGGAGATCAAACCTGCAACCTTGGTGTATTGGAATGATGCTGTAACCAACTGAGCTACCTGGCCAGAGCGTCAGGTTTCATTATTATCCACAAACACAATCTCATGTTTCCTTGTGAAACTGGCCTCAAAAGGTAAAATTTCATGCCCAAGGACAGTGGACTAGCACTTTGTAGAATAGCGATATGAGCAGTCTTCCAGGCCCAACATGAAGTACAGTGGAACCTCTGTTCTCCAACTTAATTCATTCCAGAAGGCTATTTGGGAAGCAATTTGTTTGAAAACCAAATCATTTGGATGACTGATCATACAGCTATCAGCATGAAAGGGTTGTTGGGTAGAGAACCAAAATGCTGGAGATGGGAGACATTCAAGAACCGAGGTTTGACTGTAGCCTTCTATTACTGTGCTAAAATTGCAGGGAGGGCGAGTGGGTCTGGGGAGACCACAGCCTGGTCCTCCAGACTCCCCTCTAATCATTCCTGTATTAGAGTTAGGATGTGGCAGCTTTTGCAGAGACCCAAAAGACAGAGGCTGAACAAGATAGCTTCGTTTTTCTCTCCCATGAAAGTCTGAGCTGGTGGGAGTCCAGAGTGGGTGACTGGGTGGGTGTGGGACCCTGGCTCCTTGTGTCTGGTTGTTCTGCATCCTTCCAGGGTGTTGTCCAAGGACAGCTGGCCCCCACCATCAGTTCCTCAGGAAGAGAAGGGGCAAGTGGAGGGCACAGCACTTCCTTTTAAGAAACCTACCTGTAGACAGCACACATCCCTTCCTCCAGGATTTAGACATGTGGTCTCTGCAGGGGAGACTGGGAAGTACAGTTCGTAGCTGGGGAGATATGTACCCACTAACCTGGGGACTTCTGTTACTGAAAAGGAGAGAGGAAAATGGATAGAAGAGCCTGTCTCTCACTATTATTGGCAGCGTGTCCCTTACTGCCCTGCTGTGCCTAACCCAGAAGTATTTTTTTCCTTTCATTAAATTTATTGGGGGTGACACTGGTTAACAAAATTATACAGGTTTCAGGTGCATAATTCTACAACATCATTTGTACACTGTGTCTGATGCAGAAGGTTTACAAATGCAGGCCAGATAAAAGCTGGGAAGGTGGACACAAATGCTTGGATGAAAAACATAGCTGTGAATGCCCAGGTTGGTGTGGCTCTGTGGATCGAGCATTGGCCTGCGAAATGAAAGGTTGCTGATTCCCAGTCAGGACACACACCTGGGTTGCAGGCCAGGTCCCCAGTTGGGGGCTTGTAAGAGGCAACCATTCTGCTCTTGGGAAGATATTAGTTCCCTGACATTCAGTTCTCATGGCTAACAGGCAGGGACAGTAGCTTAGGTCTGTCCTCCCCAGTCCCTGCCTGCCCTGGCATCTAATGGCACTGCCCTTCCCTGCTTGTTTCCTCAGTACCTCTGCATAAAAGTAAAATTAAAAAAAGAAATACCTAAGAGTATAAGCAATGCCTTCTCCTTTGTCAGAAAAGTGGACTTGTGTTCCCAACTGGCTGCAATACTGATGTCATTCACTACTACTTGATTAACTTCACTGGCTCACATTCTTCAGTTACTCCAACCCTGATGTTTTTATTTAATCACTACACTTCAAGAAGAGATTCCAGATGCCAACTTTAGGGGCCAGGGAAACTAAGACAGTGTAGGGGAAGACAGTCCTCCATGGAGGGTCCCCACTCCTCCGCATCTGAGGACTGACGGCTCATTGGAAAAGTGCTTCAAAGTCCGATTTAGTCTCTTTGAAGTTTAAATGAACAGAGTGCCCTGGTCCTATAAACACTATAATCCTTGTTGTGGACTCTTTCCTCAGAACTTAACCACATCCCGGGAGGTGATGACCTCAGGGATGCAGTACGAGGGTCTTGGTTTCCTTTCCCACAAGACAGAAGTGCCGAGCTGGCCTTGGGCATTCTGGAATGTTAATAAGCAGAAAATCTTGACAACCATCCTTTGGCAGTTGCCAAGGGGCTAACGGCCCAGCTGGCCTCCGACCAGCTGACTGTTGTGTCTGGGGTTTGATTTTACTCCATTTACCAGCTAGTAAGTTAGGTTGCAGTCATTTCCAAAATGCTGGCGGAAGCCTTGAGACTGCTGGACCAGAGACAAATGGCTTCATCACTCACAGGAGGCCACATAAGCATCAGCATTTGTGTTGGCTTCTCTTGTCCTATGGGGTCAAAGTGGATGGTCCAAATGGACCCTGCACATGCAGTGGGTTGCATTACAAGAATGGGACACTGAGCTTGGGGACCTGCTGCTTTATAGCAGGCAGTATGCAAGTGTGCTCTTTCTCCAAAGGGAGCCATTTCCTCATTCCCTCAAGGTGCTCACTACAAATCCAACCCTGAGAAATGGCCCAAGTAAACAGCTGTCAGGGTCATGCCTTCTTGGCACACCCAAGACCTGAAGCAGCATGGAGTACTGTTTCTACCAACAATCCACCCCTCCTGGTTTCTGATGAATTGTCACACAAATATGCCATTCTACAATGAACAGGACTCCAAGCAGCAGTGGGTCGGTTCTGTTGTTAGGAGTCCCATCTGCCATCCAGGTGTGAATAAGCAGGGCTTATTTCAGCCAGCATGTAGTCCAAGGCTGTCATCCATTAGGACCCACACAGGGAGATCAGGGTGACCTGCTGATCTTTGACATCATTGCCAATAATCACAAAGCCAGAAAGCAGCCCTCATGCCCCATGGAGAGACACCATGACTCACTCTTTTCCACACTCAAAAACATGGACTGCTGGGGTACACTCCAAGATTTGCTGTCAAACTTGACTTGGAACACTGCCATGGTTCGGTTAAGCTACACGGGCATTGCCACTGAGTACTGTTTACAGCCTCCATTGCCATACACGGCATAACCCTGGGGTGCTTGGGTGGCAGTGTGTGATTTTGTTATTGGCCAGATTACAACAAGGCTGTGCAGGTCCGTGTGTTTATAAATGTGTGGGTATGGGACCCACATTCAGAAGCTGCTACTGATGGCATTGGGCACAGGAGAGTTGGTCAGGACCAGCTATGTAGCTATGTCTACCAGTCACGTTGCCAGCTGCAGATGCCACCGGGCTCAGGGGGACCAGGTGATTAGCCAGGATATGGAAGTTGGATCTAGGGGACAGAGAGACCACAGACTGCACCCACTTTCCCTTCCCTCTACCTCCTAGGGTCTAAGGCCTCCCTCCCCAGGTCCCTGGTTAACTCCCAAGGGTTGGAAATCAGTGTGCATTCCATGCCAGTAGGTATGGCTTCACTTCTATCAACATATACTCACACTCAGACCTTTTGAGTCAGGTATGAGTGGAACAAGCATTTTTCCAAATTTATAGGGACAATGTTGGCCAACACAGAAGACCTGGCAAGGACACTCAATGACCAAGTGAGTCAATGGCAAGGGGTCATTGTCTTCATGACCCAGGACCAGTCAGTCCAGAAAGAATCCAAAGGGCTTAACCAGAATTAACTTCAATCCGAGGCCCACTTCTGGTTGACCTGCCCCATGGAGGGTGCTGGGATCAGGTGCACTGGGGCTTGATGGTAGGGAGAAGAAAGGTGCACCATACCCAGGAATGATGAGGGCAGATCCCCAGTGCCTTTGACCTGATCTTTACCCAGGAGATGGCTTAGAGGTAAACCCTTGTTGGGAACAGCCACGTTCAGTGACCGAACTGCCTCCCTACAGTATATGGACCAGGGGGAAGTAAAGAGAGATCTTTGAGTTGACTTTTTTAAAGTCCATTCCACTTAATGATGCCAAAGGCTGTTAAATGGCCACTGAATAACTTGGCTGCTGGCCCATTGTTGAGCAGCCTTTGCAAGCAAAAGAGCACCATTATCATCCTGTAAATGGTCCAGAGAGTAGAAGTCATGGCACAGTTGTTTCAGGGCCCAGTGGCATGGCAGCACCACACCTGACAATGTGCAGGGTGACACCACTGGCAGTCAATCTGCAGGAGCAAGTGAACCCTGGGAACTTCCTCACCATGAGACGAATGGGATACCCAACTTTTTCCCTTCACATGACTGAGACATGAAGGTGACATTTGTTGCAGGTCAGGAAAAGGCCTTCTTCCAGGCCAGAGGCATCAGTGAGTTTGAGGGGAATGAAGACGAGGAGAGACATGATCGGATTTAAGGGCTGTTCATGGTAGCAGAGTGGGTGTAGGGGAGAGACACTCACTACTAAGGAGGAACAAGGGAGCAGGCATGTAGGCAGAGACAGAAATCAGCCACTGGAAGGCTGCCTTGCTGAGCAAGTCCTGTGGGCAACCTGCCATGTGATCCCATGTAACCCCCTCACCTCCACTCATTTTACAGGTGAGGAAACTCTAGGTTCAAAGGAGTTAAGTGGCCTGCCCACTGTTGTACATCCGGAGTGGTGGGCAGTCTCTCCCAGTGCCTAGCCCCTACCCCTGGACCACAGGCTGTTTCACTCTGGGGTCCCAATGTGTGTAGGATACTGCAGGCTTCACTGCTCACCAACTCTTGAGTTAGCTACAGTGACAAAGACCTGGCAGGCAAAATGGCAGACTCCATGAACACCTACCATGGAAAGGGGAGGTAACTATCATCTTCTTTCTGAAAGAGATTTTTAAGCCATAATGGATACAAGTCTTTCCCCCAAGATACAGAATGTGGCCTTTTTGGCCTTAGAGATTTCTAGGAAAGAGAGTTTATTGTCCCTTTGTTCCATGGAGAGGTCAAGGCTAAATCTGGAACTGTCTGGAACTGTCAAGTTGCACAGAGCCCACAGATCGGCCAGGTACTACCTACTCCTGGACCAGAGACCAGCTTCCTATCACCAGGCAGGTGGAGACACTGAGACTGTCCCATGACATGACTACTTCATCCAGCTAGAACAGAGACTGCTTCCCAGTAAATTCCCTCAGAGGCTGTCTGACACCCACCCTGTGCCCCCATAGGAGCTGACTCCTAGAACAGGACATTGCTTGCCCAAGGCAAGCATGGTAAGACATTTTCCTTTACCTGAGACAATTCACCCCCTAGTACCTCATCCATCTTGCCCTGTTCTATGTAATTCTTTAGCGCTTGCCACTCATGCAGTAGGGAGGATATCCATGTCCTCATGATCCTCCGGGACCTCTTATTGCTCAGGACAAGCTTCGAGCTCTATTTGAAAGCTGGCCAGGTAGCTCAGTTGGTTAGAGCATTGTCCTGATACACCAAAGTTGTGGGTTTGATCCCATCGGGACACACACAAGAGTCAACCAATGAATTCACAAATAAGTGGAACAACAAATAAATGTTTCTCTTTCCCTCTCTCCTTCACCCTTCCACTCTCTCTAAAATCAATTAAAAAAGAATGTTAAAAAAACCCCAAACTCTTTATGCAGTAATGGAGTTGATCAGCCTTTTTGTCTTTCAGACCTGGGAAATTTTACCTAACACTGTGGGTTGCCTGGACGCTGCTGTGTTTAGGGCTGTATGTTTGCAAGATGGATGAGAGGAGAGGGGCTTCCAGAGTCAAGACAGGAAGGGAACACCCACAGGTAGGCAGGAGAGTTGGGACTAACCCTGGAGGCCAAATTCAGCCTCCACTGGAATTCCCCATTTCAATGCAGGGACACATGTGGGAGTCTTCTGGGAGGCCTGAGAAGATGGTAGAACTGCAGGAAAGATAAAAATCGTAAGGCCCAAGTGATTTTAGTCAGAACCACTCCAATTTTAGGAAGGTTTTGGTCTTTCCCTAAACAGGATGCATCCTTATTCCAACTCTCCTGTGTCCCCAAAGTAGTGTTTAAGGTGTGGGTTACAGTCCATAGTAGGTCATTTAAAAATTAAAAAAAATTAGGGGGTGTATGACCAACATTTTTAAAAAGGGAGCTAGAATAGAAAATAGCAGAGCTGACTACAGGTGGTAAGGCTAAGTGTAGTTTGGTAAAACTTTATGGCACTCAGCTTGTAATGTAAGATGAATTTCATTCAAAAAGATCTGAAAGATACCTTTTTTAAAGGAGTTTGTTTCTAGAATGGGACACCTGATGTAGTGTCCTGTGATAAATTTGGTAAAGTTTAAATTAGCAGTTCCACCATAACTGGTGTGGCTCTGTGGACTGGGCATCATCCTGCAAACCAAAAGTTCTCCAGTTCAATTCCCAGTCACGGCACATGCCTGGGTTGTGCGCCAGGTCCTCTGGTTGGTTGCATCCGAGATGCAACAGATTGATGTTTCCTTCATACGTTGATGTTTCTCACCTTCTCTGTCTCCTTCCTTTCCCCCCTCCAAAAAATAAACAAACAAATAAATAAACAGTCGCATAAAGAAAGCACATGCTGAAATTTATTTTAAAAGGGAAGACCCTTTTTACTAAACCTGTATATTTTACTGTCTTCCTTTCAGAATCCTAATTTAAAAAAGCAACACTTTTGTTTCTGGTTATTTAAAAAAAAATTAAACCCACAAATCAAACAAAGGAAACTTAAAACATTACTTTTGTGATGGGAAAGGAGGCAAAAAAGTTTCATCTGAATGTGAACCAGAGCCCTCCTCTTAGGGGGTGTCCAAAGCGAACCTACCCGGGAGAACCAGGAAGCAGCCTTCTTAACTTCTAAAGTAACAAAAAGACAAAAAGCCCTAATAATCACAAAAATACAAATCAATCACTCTATTTTAAAAAGCACACACGCATTTTATAGTTCTCTCCCTTCTCTCTCTCCAGGCTCTTTTCATGGAGAGTGGATCCTGAATCCTGAAGAAGGGTGGCCTCTTGGGGACAAGGTGTTCACAGCACAATCGTGTTCTTCACCAGATGCTCCTTATCATCCTCGGAACTCCAGAGAGAGCTGAGGGCACGCTCCTGGTTCCTCCGCGCCACCCTGATCAGGCAGACTACAGAGGCTCCCAGCAGGACGATCAGGACCATCACGAACAGCCCTGCCAGGACCACCACTGGGGATGAGAGAGAAACCCCAGAACTGGTGGGATGAGGAGAGCAAGCCATGGCCACACAGGGCTTAGGAAGGTCGCAGGTGCCCTGGGGGCTCAGGGTGAGGACCCAGCAGCCCTTGTGCCCTACATCCCCCCACCCAATCTGGAAGGTCTGGAGAACTGACACAACCCATCCAGGAAGTACAGTCCTAACAAGCTGGTTTCTGGAGAAAACCAACCAACCAACCAACCAACCAACCAACCAACCAACCAACCAACCTGAAAAAACAAAAACGAGGCACTGTGCTCTGTGCACACAAACAGCGACTATTTGGGTTCCTTCCTTTTGAACAAACAGCCTCACTTAAACTATTTCCCTCCACCTCTCAGGGGCAAGATGTATAGGAGTCCCAAGCCCTTGCACGTAAAAAACACACACCTCTGACATGTGTGGAAACATAAAACCCTAGGTATTGTGTGCAGCCCTCCTCCCATCAGCCCCATAGAAAGGGGGGCCTGCAGGTGGCTGGGTAGCTGACTGTGGAATGAGGTAAGGGCAGAGGGAAGGTTTATTTGGGGCAGTGCTGGGAGGGGACCCTTGTATTCCTAATGGCCTTGGTAAATTCAACAGTGGTCACCCCACTGGTCAGTGAAGATGCTTTCTTTTCAGGTGGGGCTCCACCTAACGAATGTGGCCTTCTATGGCAGCTACCCAGTTCCTTCTCCCTGCCTGGCTACAGAATCAAATAGGGGCGAGTCCCTCTCCACCTCTATCCTACCCCACCAACACTCCAGATGTGGCGCCTGCTTTCAACCCAGGCCTGGTAAACCAGTTCCAGCTTCACCCGGCCTCTAAAATAGAGCAGGCAGCAGGCCAGGTCAGGACTCCTTACTAGGGAAACAGGTGGAAAGAGACCAAACCAGTGTGGCAGGTCCTTTTGCAAACACTACCCTCCATGACTCAGGCTCAGAATCAGCAACAAAAGCGAGAGGCCCAGCCTCCTTGTCAGACCTAACTGCTTGGGGCCAACACCACTGGTTGTGCCTCGCACACAGCAAAGACTCCAACTTCCTTCTTTTCACCCACAACCAACTCTGTACACCCCACGGACCAAAGTTATCTTTAAGCCTCGAGTCAGACTCGGGCCTGTGTGCAGCAGATCCCCACATGCCCAACAGCAGGACTCATTCCCTCCCGCCACCTCCAGCTGCCTCACTCTAGCCCCAGCTATGTACTCGGTGGTGGGACAAACATCTACCACATGTTCCAAGCTGCCTGGCCATTCTCCTGCAAAAGCATGACTTTCTATCAAAAGATATTTATGGTGAAGGATGATGTTTCCAAGACAACATGAGCCTGCAAAAACGCAGGTGAGTTTAGTCAGGCAGGCAGGTGGGGGAGGGCGAGAGGCCATTTACCTTTAGTGCTGCGGGGCAGGACGGGATACAACTGCTTGCCTGGAAGAGAACACATAACCCCAAGGTCAGCTCACAGTCCTCTTTCCCCCAGAACTGCTGCCACCTGAAGATTCCCTTCAGCCCTGGGCCTTCACAGTGGGCTCTTTCTGAGATACTTCTTCCAGTTCTTTAAGGCCTTGTCAACTTGGTGGGGACCTAGGACATGTCTAGGGGCCAGTGATAACCTGTTCCCCATTAGGGAGCCAGAGAAGGATGGAGGCCAAATGACAGCCTTTCCAAAGCCTTGTTTTAGGGATGGGGGATAGACTCGGGGAGAAGCAACCCCCTGTTGCTTCTCGGATCCAGGGGTCAGGCAGACTCACCAATGCAGCGGCTCATGCATGCCTCCTTGGAGAGGTAGTTGTTTTTATTGCCCCGACACCCTCCATAGATAAAGTAATCACACACATTCTTCTCAGCATCAAAGTACCAACGTGGGAAGGATGCGCGGCAAGGCCCTGTGACCGCCTTGGCAGTGCAGTGTTCTGGGAGTGGAGAGTCCGAGAAGCACAAATGAGCAGGGTGCAGAGGAAAATGGAGCTAGAATGCTTCCAGGCAGTCACACAACTGCCAACCAAAGGAGAGCTCTCTCTCTCTCTGCCACAGAAACTGGTCAACTACAGGCGTGGTCAGTCTGACCCATTTGACACCCTCCTCCACATTTCTATTGTCTTTCTCTTTACAGCCAGACTAGGTTGTTACAGAGGTTCCCCTACCAGACACTGTTCTAAGCACTTTCCATGCCTTAACTCAATCCCTAAGAGATCTGTCCCGGGCTCCTCAGTTTTCACATGCAGGAATTTGGAGGCACAGCTATAGTCACCTGCCACAGCTGGTGAGCAGGGCCTGCAGCTATACCTCCTCCGGAGCACAGCTCCCTGCAGCCTGCTGCCCTGGGGCACCCGGTGCATTCCACCATCTGGGAAAGGTCAGGAAGACCAACCCTAAAATTTCCTTAGTGGAAATCGTGAAGTGTGTCACCATTCCAACTAAGTAAAGAAAATATATTTTGCCCATATGTATTTTTTAAAAGTTATACTTTCAACCATCTAAAATAAAAAATGAATTCAAAGTTATACCTTCGTAGTTGAAAACACTGCTGGAGGGGTCATCAAAATCCTGCCTTCTGGGAACTAAAACAGAAACATCCGTGTCAGGGAGGCTGGGACAGTCACAGGACACGTGGATTGGCTGGGGCTGAGTCTAAAAGGGCCCAGTGAGGGACTGTGGACACTGGCACCTAGAAGGAAGGGTGTGGAGCTCCTGTTCACGGGCAGCTTTGCTCCATCACCTCCGGTTCTAGTGGGCTCTACAGCACACGCTGGATGAATGCGGGATGGGAAGCCCGCCCCCACTCCAGGGGTTGATGTGAAAACTAATCCTAGCCACCGTTCCTGGGGCCATGAGGAAGCCAGTCCTGTTCACTCTCTCCACACAGCGAGGAGTCTCCTCCCTTAGTCTTCTGGAGAAATTTTCTTCTGAAACAGGATTGAAATGAGAGCTATTATGCCAGTGCCCCAGGGTTCTGGATGACTTTGGAGAGGCCAGTTTGAGAATTAACAGTGAGCTCAAGTGAAACAATGGCCAGGATGAAAACAGGATTCTTGGACTAGCAAATCTGGAAAGTAACTCTAGTCTAAATTTTGGCATTCTGAAAGGCACAGTTACTCTCCCGTGAGCACTGGTGTCACAGTCAGGCGACCAAAGTCAAGAGGGCAACTGGTGTGTGACTGGCCTACTGGGGACCATCCTCCAATGGGGTGGGGGCAGATTCCCTCCCTCCACAGCAGGTCTTGCACAGCAGGGCCCACTGCCTGGGGACTGGCCTTCGGGAAAGCTGGACTGGACTTGCTAGTGTGTCTGTACCACTCACCCCAGGCTCCCGATGCGGAATCCTTTAAGCATAGAGGAGGAATGGGGCAGCTGCTGTCAGCACTACAAAGCAAGCTAACACAAAGCTTGAGATCAAGGACTGCTGTGGGAATGGACGCAGGGTGGAGGAGGACAGGACTCAGCACAGGGAAGGAGATGGCAAGGACCACAGGGAGCAGAGGAAACAGAACAAGCAAAGAGAGGTAGGTGGGAGGTATGGCTGGGGGTGGGGGGATGCTGTGAGACAACAGAGGCCAGCCCAGAGAGGAGGAAGGGGCCTGAGCCACATGGGCGGCAACCACAATCCCCAACCGACAGGAGGAAGCGGAGGCCTGCTGAGAAGCACTGCAGAGCTCTTCGGCCCTCCTTTCTGTTAAGGATGCTGGCAAGGAGCCAAAAGCTGGCAGCCTGGGCAGAGCTCCTGTTTGTCAATGCTGAGTAAACAGAACCAGGACGTGGAAGCCCTTGTACAAGTCCCAGATTATAAATATCCTTTCAGTTACCCATCTGGATGGTCCCATTCATCCTGGGATTTTTTAAAGAACATACCACTTGGGATAGAGGAATTTGCTCCATTCCTGCTGGTTGGCAGACCATCAATGGTGTTCTCTACAAGGGGACAAATAAACCACACAGTGAGAAAGTGCACCTTCCTCCAAGATCACCAGTGAAACTAAACAAGCACAGAAACTCCCATTTCTTCTTTATGTGGGCCTTTCAATGCATACGCGGCACCACGAGCCTGCCAGAAACTGGAAATAAGGAACCAAGATTGTCCTTGTGGGTTAAACTGTAAGATCAACGTACTGGAAACTAGAACTAAGATGTGTGAAATGACTGTAAAAAGACAATATGGTTTCCAGGGCCAAATAACCTGTTAACTGTATATCTACTGAATTAAAAAGAAGGTGCACAGCAATATGAATGTACTTAATCCAACTGAACTGTATGATTATAAATGTAGGTAAATTTTATATTATGTGTATTTTCTCTCTCTCATACATGTGACTGGGTGGGATGGAGACTAGTTGCTTAAGGAAACAAAAAAGGGAGAGCTGGCAAGGGTCCAGGAGGGAGGGACCTTGCCTCCCCATCTCCTTACTGGTCCCAACAGACCTTCTGGAGAGGCACGGGGCTGGCCTGACCAGATGCCATTAAATATCCACATCACAAACCAGCTGCCCTTGTTCAGTCTCTCTCATCAAGCAACCTTCTGGGAATTTGGCCGAGAGAATTGCCTACGTGCACTATATGTGCAGGAACAGGGACTTGAGTGTCTTGTCCCCTGGGTGGTTCTGGTTCTCATTATAAATTAATAAACCGGCATTCTCATTACCATGTGGCTTCCCACAGAGCTTGCCTGCCTGGGAGACAATATGCTGGCAAAAGGCTCCAGTGTCTAGCTGTTCTGGCAGTTCGAGCTCTCTTACAGATGCATGAAAGATGCCTCAAGAAACGTGTAGTGAGTGGAACCACACTTGAGTGCCTAGAAAGAGCTTTCTGGGCCCTCATGAATGGAGCCAGACTCTGAACCAAAAACAGCTGTTTGTCATCTCTCAGCAAAACACAGCCACCCCTGGCCCCCTGTAGTGACCTCCTGTCTTAATACCTAGTGTCTATTGCTTGTACTCTTAAAAACAACTATCTTCCTGAGAAACTAAGGTGTAACCAGAACAGGCACATACATTTCCTACAGTCAACTCTTCTTCAAAGATTTTATTTATTTATTTTTAGAGAGAAGGGGAGGGAGAGAGAGGGAAAGAAACATCGATGAGAGAGAGAAACATTGATTGGTTGCCTCTCAAATGCCCCTGACTAAAGATGGAACCCACAACCCAGGCATGTGCCCTGACTGGGAACCAAACTGGCTACCTCTCTCTTTCCAGGACAATGCCCAACCAAGACACACAGGTCAGGGCCCTACAGTCAACTCTTGATTAGGGAAGAATGGAAAAGTTAGCAAAAATATTTCCCCTTAATTCCTCCCCCAACATTGGATCCTAGTTGATGACGGAAAATTACAATAAATGATATTTTCCTCAGTCATCAGCTGGTAAAGTTGCCAGTTGCTCCCTGAAAGGTGAGGAGCTTGCCTGTATGATCCAAAAACAATACCTGCTACCCCACATTTCCAAACACTTGTTGAGCACCTGCCGGGCACCAGGCACACAAAGATTAGTAAAACATTCCTCAGTCACTGGCAGGATTGTGTGCTCGGCACTATGTTTCAAACTTGAAGTCAGAGCCCTCCCCCTCCCCCTCCCTTTACATATGTTTATCTAATTTTTGAATGCAGAGTACAAGGCCCAGCGAGATTACAGCCAGTGAGTGAGGAGACAGAAAACCCCCACAAAGGCGCAGGACACGGGCTCACAGGCTGGTGGTGTGCAAGGAGCAGTAAAGGCACAAGCACATCCTGACAGAATCAGAATCCAGAGTCCTAATGTCGATGCCAAGCCGTCAAGAAAGAATGTGAGAAGTCACGTAACAATGTTAGGGAGGTTGCCAATGAAAATGTTTTGACAGTTTGCCCGGCCAAATCCTTGAGTCTCTGGAACACTTGGGAAGAAGCAGGCCCCAGAGGGCCAATGTCTCATTGCCATCAAGGGGTCCCTCGCAGCTCAGTGTGGGCATTTAGGTTTTTATTTAACCCTGTGAGACTCTCAGAGTCAATGTTATCTTGATTCCACAGAATCCTTTCAGGTGAGGGCTGGGAGAAGGATGGACTCCAGGAAGTATGTTCTAGTTTCAACTTTGACTCAGAACTTGGCTGGCTGGGTGAGTTCATCAAGTCATTTGTCCCACAGGTAAAAATAACCCAAATGCCCAGGGAGCAAGTGGGGCAGCCTGTCTGAGTGGACCTGGGGGACTCTGCTCAAGGGGAAGCCACTTCCTTCTATACTGAGTCTGGTATGGGACTTGACACTCAGTAGTGAGAGAAAGGAAGTTGTGGAGAAGTTGCAGTCATACCCCCCACCTCCCACTCCAGCTGAGAGACCACTGTGTGGGTGATCTTTGCACTGTGCCTGTTTCTTCTGCTTTTTAAAACATACCCCCCAACCCCTGCCCAGGTTTAGCTGTGAAGAACTAGTAAAGAACAAAAGGCACCCACACCCCCATGAATAAACTGACTAATAATATTTCCTCAACTACCATTGTCTTACCTGTGAAACCAGAACATTTCTCAAGACACTCCTCCTTGGTCAGATAATTATTGTCGTTCCCACCACAGCCTCCATACACAAACTGTTGGCAGGATCCATCAGTGGCATTGTACCACCATCTGCGGAAGGAAGCCCGGCATTTTCCCACTACCTTTGGAACTTGGCAAAAGTCTAAAACACAAAGCAGAGACCAGTTAGCTTAGCAGGGCGATCATGGCAATAGAGAACACACCCAGTCCTGCGGGAGAAGGCCCACTGTTTCCCAGAGCCCCAGGAGGAAGGTGAGAGGCTCAGTTAGAGCACAGTCCCTCTGTGAGCTCTTTCTACAAAGTTGGTGATTCCCTCCTTGTACAGGAAAGAAGCCCATCATCTAACAACAAAAATATCAACTCACTCAACCAAACTGTATTTCAGTTGCATGTTGATTCTGTCCCTGCCCCCATTATTAAAGACACACACATTCAGTATAGAAATATGACGTTTAAAGGTGAAAAACATATTTCAAGGTACTTCTGAATATGGGTCCCATCTCAGGGCAAGGGGAGCTGAGTGCTGAAAGGGCAGTACAGGTGATGGGAGGGCAGGAAGGAAGCACATTGGCACTATTAGTGCCCCTCATGACAAACCTAACTTTCCCCTTTCCTTTCCTCCCTCCTGTCCTCCCTTTCTTTTCCTTAAAAAAGTTGGGCAGGGGGGAGGATGGGGGAAAAGGTACAGGGACTAAGAAGCATAAATGGTAGGTACAAGGAAATGGAGAAGCCAAAGAACTTATATGTACGACCCATGGATGAACTAAGGCGGGGAATGCTGGAGAGAGGGGAGGAGAGATGAGGGAGGGGGAGGAGGGAGAGGTACAGGGCAGAGGGGGATAAAAAGAAAGAAAAAGATGAGACAACTGTTAGCATAATCAGTAAAATATACTTAAAAAAAAAAAAAGTACCTTATCTGGACATGTGATATGAGTAGCATCATACAGCATGTCCAGAAAAGGCAAATCAATAGGATAGGAAGAGGATTAACAGTTTCTGGTGCTAGGGGTTGTGGTGGGGGAGTCACTGCAAATGGACACAAGGATGTTTGAGATGACGGAAACATTTCAAAATTGGATTGTGGGGATGGTTGTACACTTTGTAAATGTACAAAAATCACTGGATTGTAGGCTTAGTATTTTTTAAAGTCCACATAATTTACTTAAATTCATCATTTTATTTTTAATTTTTAATCCTCGCCTGAAAATATGTTTATTGACTTAAGAGAGAGAGAGAGAAAAACAGAGATATGAGAGAAAACATCAACTGGTTGCCTCCTGTACATGCCCTGACCAGGGATCAAATCCGCAACATTTTGGCGCACAGGATGATGTTCCAATGAACTAAGGCTGGGCTGGATTGTATGCTTAAAATGAGTGATCTTTGGTATGTAAATAATAATTTAATAAAGCAGTTTAAAAAAAAGATTTTTATTTATTTTTAGAGAGAAGGGAAGAGAAGAGAAGGAGAAAGACAGGGAGAGAAACAGTGACGTGTGAAACATTCATCAGTTGGTTGCCTCCTGCACACTTCCAAACCAGGGACCAGGCCCACAACCCATGCATGTACCCTATATGGGAATCGAACCAGAGATCCTTTGGTTTGCAGGCTGGCACTCAATCCACTGAGCCACACAGGCCAGGGCTAATAAACCAGTTTTTAAAGAAAAGAGGAATAGCTCTGACCAGTGTGGCTCAGTTGGTTGGGCATCATCCACAAAGTGAAAGGTTGCGGGTTTAGTCCCAGGTTGGGCCCGTACAAGATGTAATTCTCACATTGTGTTTCTCTCCCTCTGTTTCTCTCTCCCTTCCCCTCTCTCTAAAAATCAATAAATAGAAAAAAAATCAATAAATAACAAATAGGGATACTTTTTGTTCATAACACATCAACCAGAACCAGCTGGGCATGCATCTGGAGCAGGTACTTTAACAATGTGCCAAAGGTTACAAAACATACCCAATTAACACAGCCTAGGGAAAACAAGGCAGAACTCTCTGGTATATGACTCATGGCTGGTCAAATATCAGTGGCAGCAATGCTATCAAGACAAAACAGTAAGGATCCACATCAGATCCACTCATGACCCCAAACTGAAATCATCATCAAGGCAGGGAGCACCCAACTGCTAGAGGCAACAGCTTGCCTGATGCCTTGCCAACCTAAGAGCCCTGGAAAGCACTCTGACTGCTCTGTGTTCATGCTTTTTGAGCAGTTTCAGGTACAGCCTTTTTGACAAAGAGCCAAGGGTGGAATTATATGTTCTAAATGGGTGAACCATATAGCATGTGAATTGCATCTTGAAACAAAACCAAAGTCCTGGCCAGGTAGCTCAGCTGGTTAGAGCACTGTCCCAATATGCCAAGGTTGCAGGTTTGATACCCAGTCAGGGCACACAGAAGAATCAACCAATGAATGCATAAATAAGTGGAACAACAAAATTGATGTTCTTCTCTCTCCCTTCCTCTCTCTCTAAATTCAATCAATAATAAATAAAGTTTTAAAAAAGCAAAAAAGATAAAACAAAAGCCAAGAGAGGGCTGAACAAAGCTCAAGGCAAGAACCAACAGACATCAATTCAACAAGGTGTCCAATTTATACAAGGTGGAAATTTGGTGGCTTTTCAGAAGCATAGGTATCAGATACACACTGTGCAGGTATGGAAGCCTGAGGGTTTGTAAAGAGGAAAAAAAAGCCTATCCAGGAGTGGATGGCAGTTTCCTTGGTGAAGTCAGTCAACACTGCCCGGAATATGGCTCTCATCTTTACAGGCAGAGACACACACATACTTCGTGCCAGTGCTGATGAGACACAAGGCTGTTGATCTCTGCTACCAAAGAAAGCACTCAAGAGGATACTAAGAAAATAACTGTCAGGCAAGTTAGATGTGTATATTCACCAGCATACCACCTCTGAGAGAAAGCTGAAACACACAGCAGGTTGCTTGGATTCAAGTAAGAGAAATTTACTGTAGGGTTCGCTTTTGCACATCTTCTCTTGGGTCTGCCTCTGGGATGCATCTTTCCTGCCTGGAATGTTCTTTTGGCAGATGTGCCGGTCCCTTCCTTACAAATCTTTTGGGCGTGGGGGGCCATTCTGTCACAGACAGCTGCTCACAGCTGCTCTCAATTATCACACACTCTTTTCATAGTTTATGTTCAAAAGCAACCTATTTTCAGGTTCCCTGGGTTGAATAGGAGATGGAGAGACTTCACTCTTGTCCCAGGGAAATATAGAAATGTTTCCATTAAAAGAGAAAACTTAAGAGAAAAAAAAATACAGTATGTCTGGAAAGAACATTGGTAATTGTTGAAGCTGAATGATGGTCTGTAGGGGCCCATAACTGTTTTCTCTACTTTGTTGTGTACACTTGAAAATTCCTACAATAAAAAAAAAAAGAGAGAGAGAGAGAGAGAAAAGAGATTACCTTTTATCTTTTTTACTCAAATAAAATTTGAGTAAAAGAGCTCTAAGCTGCAGACTGTGTGGCTAAAGCTAGGTTCAATTAAGATGAAATTAACTATCCCCTTACTGTGTCAAGACAAGTGCCTCCTGTGAGTATAGAAGCTCTGCACTGAATGGAGAAAAATCTCATTTTGTCACATCCTTTTACTAACTAAATTGCTTTGAGTCTATGATATAAATTTTTACTCTCTAGGCTTGAGAGAAGTAAACTCATGAAAAATATGTTTGTCTTTATTTGCTTGTTTGTTTCAAAGGAGACAGTGTTCCTTTAGGAAACACAGGCCACACACATTCACACATACAGAGACTTTCACCCCAAATAACATCAATGCATTTTTTTTCATTGTTCTCCAGAATGCTTGTACAACAAGTCTGAAACACTTTCAGTATGCAAGATGGCTTCTGTGATTTACCTTCCTTAAAAGAACTAAAAAAAAGTTAAAGTACTATACTTTGGTAGATCCAGATTAAAATAAAAATGCAGAGCATTACTTATTTCTTGACACCCCCTTCACTGCCTTCACCAAGCATTACGCCAGGCACATTATGTGCACTATTTCTAATCGTCATGATAAAACTGTGAAACATGCAGTATTGTCTCTACTTTACAGACAAGGACACAGGCCTGGCTGGGGTGGTTAAGCTAAGTGAGCGGCAGATGTGAATGTGCATTCGATCCATAATGGTCTGATTAGGGAGTAATGACCTAATGTAATGACCCCTTGAGCTGAAAAAGTCACAGGCAGTGGGAAAAACAACATTCCTGAAGACTTTTGTCATCATCTCAGGGCTCACCAAGGCCAGGCCCTCAGCTGGGCCTCTGTTTTCAGTCACACTTTGTGACAGGGTCAGAGACACCATTATACCAAATAACCTGGCCAAGGCTGAGGGGTATTTGGTTGGACAGTTCAGGAAGTTCTTTCTTAATGAATAATTCCATTACTTTAGAGATGACAAAATGATATATTGGTCTTAAAACTTCATATGTTTTTAAAACACAGAATAGAAAAAGCTGAAGGGAACTGAATTGGGATATATTCGCTTCAGAATATGCAAAAGTAGGACTTCTACCTTCAAGAAACAGTAATATTCCCTTGGAAAAGAATCAGAAATGGTTAAAAATCACACAGTAGAGCCCTCACTGGTATAGCTCAGTGGACTGAGTACCAGCCTGTGAACCAGAAGGTTGCAGCTTCGATTCCCAGTCAGGGCACATGTCTAGGCTGTGGGCCAGGTCCCTGGGTTGGAGGCGTGCAAGAGGCAGCCAACTGCTGTTTCTCTCCCTCTCTTTATCCCTCCCTTCCCTTCTCTCTGAAAATAAATAAAATCTTTAAAAAAAGATTTTGAAAAAAATCTTTACATGAAATATGAACCATTTAATTATAAAACTCTGGCAGGCATTTTGAACATTAGCTATTACAATACTGCCAAACAGGCAGGTCTTTGTTGTGGAAAACAAGTTCCTCAGGTTCTAAAATCACTATAACTTGAACAAAGACACCCAGCCAATGGCTCAGACAACTGTCCTCTGTGTGCAAGCTGGCCAGACTCATCTTCTGTCACCTCCTAACAAGGACATCACAGAAACGTTAGGCTGGTGTTAGCCTCCTAGGCACTACCAATTTAATTTAGTTCGCATGCTGAAGAAGACAGTGTCTACTTATTCTTCAAAAACACACA